CAGTGACTGTTGGCCGTACGGGCGACTACGTCCTCATTTCCAAGCCCAAGAAAGGCATTGCCTACGTCGAAGCCCGATTCAAGGAAGACAAAATCGTATGTGATGCTCTTGCGAAGCTCCGACTCACGAGCATCTTCCCCATCCTGTCGACACCCCGCTCACACGTCAGGTAATCAGCCCTCGCACACCGACAGGGGCTGCCAACTGGTTCGTCTTTCTCCAATGGCACCCCCATCGCTTCATGGTCTAACCTTCAGCAGCTCCTCTCCAGGCTCGAACAGGAATGGAGTCCGCCCAAGCTCAGAGACGACACCGTCATCTCCCTCGAAACAGACCTTTTGAAAGAACCCGTTTGTAAGTATCGCCTATTTCTACGTGGGGTCACAGCATGCTGACCAAATCCTAGTCCATAAAGGTGTTCCCGGCGACATGTTCCATTCTCTCCGCGTTGTCGAGTTTCAGGGTCTTGACCCGACTACCCGGGTCGTCTCCATTCGCGATGTTGCTATTAAAGTCAACCTGTACGGTCGCACCCCGGAGTCGCCATCCTCGTCTGATGATGAGTTTGTGACCATGCCGCCCAACTCCACACTCGACGGCCTCTGGGAACTGTGAGAATGCCTGCTCCTCTTACAACATGCTTATACATTTCTAACCGAGTGAACCTTTCAGATGTTGATCCTGACCCCGACACAGCTTGGTTACCGACTGTGCTGTTCAATCCCAGCTTTTCTCTCTGATGCACAGCCTCGGTGAAGCTTGCCCGCAACGACGTAGCACGGGGGCGCGTGAGGGTCTTTCTACGACGACGCTCTTCTCCATGATCTGATGCCAAAAGAAACAGGAGACGACACCCATGGCCCCCGCATTATTGTTCTAGCAAGCTATGTTGGAGATATTGCCTCTGCTCGGCGCTTCCTCAACATCATCGCTAATGCCAAAACGCGCCACATGCACCAGTCGAGTCGCAAATTAGGCACGGCCACCAACGCCGTCGCCAGCCTCATTGAGAACCATACACTCAGTGATACCAGGGGCTATGCCATACAACGTCGGTCTTGCGTCCTTTTGGTGTTGATAAATGTCTGCTGACTGAAAAATTGTAGTTCTCAAGACCCGATTCAAGCCCTTTGCCGAATACACGGTCAAGATCGAGAGTGAATTTTGGTCTCGGACCGAGAATCCCGACTCTTGACCGGCTGCGGACAGAAAGCAGCGCCTAAATTCGGTCCGACTCATAAACCAGCACCATCTCCAGGGCTCGGGAATCATGATGACTTGGAAGAAAGTACTCCTTGTGCAAAGGAATTTCAGTAGGAGGAACCTAAACACAGAGATAGCAAACTTCTCTAAACAAGCCCATTTCTATCGACGGGTAATCTCGGTCAAAGCAATAGAAATGCATGACTTGATGCATCTGAGCGTATTTTTAGCAATTTAACCCAAACTCAATGCTTTCTGACTCCATTTCCCCGGGTTCTAGATGCGACGTTTCTTTTCTCATACACCACGTTTACTCTTGGTGATCAAGTTTTTACAGTTCTCTATGGCGCATATATACACAGTGTCATTTAACCAACTCCGACCACTATATTCTTAATATCCGCTGGAAGCATTTGCTGCATTAATAACTAAAAGCATCCAGGATCACAACCCATTCTCCTAAAATCAGACTAGACAAAACATGGCATATTTGAGAAATACTCAAGTTCCATCTGCTTTCCGTTGATGGTGATACCGATTCCCGAAGGCTTCCTTAATGGTTCCTAGCTTATACATGCCCTTCCTCGGAGGAAGGAGGCAGGTAAACCATTATAGGCCTGACCGAGTAGGCCAACAGCAGTCAACGTGAGGTGACGCGCGGCCCTTTGACTTTCTCACAGGCCCAGGTGAGACTATCCGAGTTTTTGACAACCCAACCGAGAGTAAAGTTTTCTGCATGGCCATTTCCATACTCCGTTACTTGGGTCCAAAGTAGAGTGCACACGAGTCAGGCCTGTCTTATACCGGAACACCTTAGGCTTCGGTTCCTGCAGGCCTGTGGGATATGGCCCAGTCCAGGATGGCCGTCCCCAGGCCGTTGCGTCGTCTATATATACGATGTACATATATATACATACAAAAGCTAACCTTAAATCAAAAGGTTAATAGTATTCGTCCGGGCAGCAGCCAGCCTCTGTCGTCGAGGACGTCGCTGCTCACCTGGATCACATTGGCGGCGGTGCTTCACGAAACGCAGCGCAAGAGAGATGGCGACACGGTCGATGTAATCGACTGAGTCGTGCGAGAAGCGGCGATGGACTTTCACAACATTTGTCTGTTCATTACGCCTAGCCGGCTCTTAGCTCTATAACCGACGGCAATACATTAAATTTCCTTGACAAACCCAACCTCAACCACCCTGTCCATGGCCAGCCTGAGGTTAGCGATTTTGGCCCGGGTGTTGTCCCTGATCCACAAGAACGTGCCCAGGGTGATCCTCCTCAGGATGCTTGTGCCCGTCCTGATTTTCATCTGCCCCTTGCCGACGATGTACAAGACCTTGTGGGCATACGCTCGGTCCATCTTCGCCAGCTCCGCCGCCAGCTTGCCGTCCTTCAGCTCGGGCGCGCCGTCCGCGTCGTCCAACGTTGTCGTGGTCTCCTGCTCGCTGGCGGCCGCCGCCTTCGCGGTCGCCTGCCTGACTACGAACATGCGCACCTGCTCGTACACCAGTGCACCCAGGTCCGGGCTGACTACCTCGTCCATGAAGCCGTGGCGCACGACGAGGCGGTAGCAGCCCGGGATGTTGGCGAAGCGCGAGATGTGGTAGCGCTCGCTGTCCGGGACGGTGGGCGCCTCGACGGGGTGCAGGTGAAAGAAGACGGACACGTCCGGAAGTGCGCCGAGCTTGGAGGCGAAGTGGGTGAAGACGCTGGGTGTCTGGATGCCCGTCTTGTCGAAGAAGATGCCAAATCCGACGACGGGGGAGAGCACGTTGCCGCCCCAGCGCTGGGTGAGCGCCAGCAGGCCGTCACTGTTCTTGGTGAGGAGGGCGCTGGGCTTGAAGCGGTCTTCGGCCTCGGCGCGCCATTGGTTCTCCTTGCCGAAGCGCCAGAGAAGGAACATGCCGGCCATGAGGGCCGAAATCATGAGCGTGAACCAAGCACCGTCAGGGACCTTATTAAGAGCCGAGGAGAGGTAGAGGCCGTCGAGCGTGGCGAAGGTCAAGGCCGGAAGGCCGATGAGCCAGACCGGCAGGCCCCAGACGAGGATGGCGACCAACGTGACCATGAGGGTGTCGAAGAAGGTAACGAAGATGACGCAGACGCCGTACGCGTGGCCGAGGCTGGTCGTGTTGTTGTACACCACAGTGATGAGGATCGTCCCGAGCATTAGGAGCCAGTTGAGGAGGGGGACGTAGACTTGTCCGTGGAAAGTTTCCGAAGTGTGAACAACCTTCATCTGGGGACAGTAAGAGAGCTTCATGATTTGGCTCGAGAGCTGCAGAGGTGTTAGCATTTGGCTGCTGGCATTGCGTTTGAAAGGTAGGCGGTTCCACAACTAACCTGGAACGTTGCCGTGATGATGGCCTGCGAAGCGACGATGGCGGCCAGGATGGCCAGGATCAAACTAGGATACAGCATGCCTGGGGGGACTGTGTTGAAGAAGGGGTTGGTGAATTTCTCGGGCATGAGGGCCAGATGCGCAGCCTGGCCGCTATACGCGAGAATGAGACAGGGATAGGTCCACAGCAGCCAGCTCATCTGCACGGCGCGCATGCTAAAGGCACCCAGGTCGGCAAACAGCGCCTCGACACCGGTGAAGCAGAGCAGCACGCCGCCGAGCATCTTCCAACCCTCCGTCTTCCGCTCCATGAAGAAGTGGATAGCATAGTAGGGGCTGAAGGCCTTGAGGACAGTGTGGTCGTACTTGACGAGGTTATAGATGCCGAAGCCCCCGTTGAAGCCAAGCCAGATGATGACGATAGGCGCAAAGCTGCTAGCAAGCTTGGTAGTCCCGAAAGGCTGGACGAGGAAAAGCAGGAAGAGGATGCCGCACGACGTGCCGACGATTGTCGAGTTGCTGATGTCGGGCTTGACGACCGAAAGACCTTGGATGGCGCCCAAGACTGACTGCGCGGGGGTCAGGATACCGTCGGCTAGGACCATGGACACTGCGAGGACTCCGATGGTCTTGAGGAAGCCTCTGGTGATTTTGCTCTTCTCGATGACAGAGCGGATGCCGCGGGTCACAGGGCGCACGTCCTGGGTGTTTTTGCGCTCCATGCGGACCGTGGCTTCCTCGCGGGGGTCGAACTTGGTGATGTTTGCCTTGTAATTGGTCAGCACAATGTGCGTGTCGTAAGGGGAGAAGGGCTCCCCGTCATATATCGGATACTTACATATCGGGTCAGAAGGGAATAACAGGAAAAGGTGCCGCCCTCGCCTTCGTTGTCGGCGTGCAAGACGATGAAGACGTACTTTAGCGTGACCATGAGGGTGAGGGACCAGATGATGAGAGATAGGACCTGGGTGAGGTCGTTCTTGTTGGGAATGTCCACGAAGGTGGACGAGAAGACGTAAAGGGGACTGGAAGTCAATCAGCACACCAATCTTTCAACCACGGCTCGAGTCTAGTGTCGGAGCTCACCTCGTCCCGATATCACCGTAGATAACACCAATTGACTGATATGCGAGCCTGAGGGGGGTTGAGGATGTCAGCGAGCCCAAAACATTGTTAACAACATGGGGGGAGGGCCGCAAACGTACCACATCAGGGTTGTGCCGGTAAAGACCTGCTTCTTTCTACCATCGTCGCGGCGCCAGTCGTTGCCACTCTCGTCCGCGTCGGCGGTAGACTCCATTGTGAGAACGCGGGAGAGACGGTGCGAGCCGACGCGGCGGAGGTCACGGCTCGAGTAGATGCCGCCGGCGACACCAGCGCCGGAGCTGGAGCCGACATCAGGACGTTTCCATTGCGGGTAATCGTCGATGGTCGAGTCCGACTTGTGTCTGTTGAGCTTCTCCTCGATTGTGATCCTGTTCACGGTGGGGTGCGACGCAGCCGTTTGGTCGTCCATACCAGGCGGGCGGATCAACACCTTTGAAAAGGGATGTTTGGGTACTGCGCCGGTGTGGGTGCAACCAGTGAAAATGTAGATGCAAGAACGGGGTGCTATGAACAGGTCAAAAACCGAGAGGTAGGAGGGAATGTAAAGGGCGATCACAAGGACGAGGAGCTTAGTTATGTCTGTGCTGGCAAGACAGCGGAGGGTGGGTTGACTTCTTTATGTCTTGGGCATTTGGAATTGGAACCGTCCAGACTAGTACCCTACCCTAATCTCAAGATAAACCTGTCTCAAGAGAAACGACAGTGGGGGTTGATTGAAGGACCTTGGGGACCTGGACCAGGCGGTCAGAAGCGACTTTGGCTAACTAAGAGATGGCGTAAGATGCCTTTACACGCATCCCTGAGGCTGCGGCAAACGCGATCTCTATCTCGCCGAGTTAGTGCGGAAAACGCCAACGCCACCACGACATGCAGGGAGACAAGAAAGTGGGCATGGCCGTAAACCCAGCCCCTCGTTACTTCGGGGTCTTCCGGCAGTGGACGCCATGTGGCAGTGCAGCTTTTGTTTTTTTCTTTGCATATGACATGCCATGCAGGTATGGATACCCATCTGCACGACTGGGATCATGGTGCTTATCAGACTCGGACTCTGGTTACAGAATCTTGACTGTCACAGGCTCGATATCTAGGCTTGTCCTGTAAGAGAGGGGCTAACGGCCCACGAGTACGGGTAGGCTCGCACTTATTCGGGTTTGAGGTATGCGAGTGTGTGCGCGCGCCGGGTGGGAGACACGCCGGAAGGAAGCAGACTAATTACTACTACGTGGTAGGGTGAGTAACGAGCGCCCGCTGGATGCCGAAATGGTGGCGACGGGGAATGATTTCTGCTGGGGGTGTGGGTAGGGGTAACTAGAGTAAAGTAGTGGTAAACGAGCGGGAGCCCGGGAGGGCACAAAGGGACATAGGGACCATTGGCCAGGAGGACGAGGCTACCCCCTGTCAAGACGCTGGGTTCGTTGGAGAATCTTGAGCAAAAACAGGAAGGAATCGAAGAAAAGACGGGTGCGCTGACTGCATCTGTGAAGCCTAAGGTAAAATAGAAACAGACAGCGTTGACGGGGTCGTTCGAATTGTTGCCTCTGTCTTGAATTCCTCGAGGAGCCTCCTCTCTCTCTCTCTTATTCGACCGAGGAAACCCGCGCCGACTTAGTGGTCTGATCTGGGATGGTTACACACGCGGACTATTTGGCCTCCTGTGGACGGGCATGGTTTGGTCGCCGGGGGATGGTGGGATAGAGGATTCCTGCACCTTCTGCCCCTTTCGCGCACACCGCACACGCTGTATGAAGATGCGGGCGTTGACGGCGATCTGTGGAGAGAACAGAGGAGGGTATGTTTGTGCTCGAGAGGATCGAGATAATGCCTCAATATCCTACCGACTAGTCATATGCCGTTCTTTGCCGTTATTGGACGGGGCAGTGCCTAGTTCTGCGAGGGGATTGGTTGTAAAGACGAGACGGAAGACAAGAGGGGAAAGTGAAGCCGAACAACAAAGATAGAGGGAGAGTACCGGTAAGAGAGAGAGGGGGAGAGAGTGAGAGGAAGAGAGGAAGAGAGGAGGAGGAGGAGGAGGAGGGGAAGGGGGAGGGGAAGGAGGAGGCAGCCCGTCACAGTCTGCTGCAGAGTGCAAGTGCGTGTATTCCTCCGCTGTTGGAGACAACAAGAAATGAACCCGTATGTACGTACCTAAACTACCTCGACCTTCCCTACTCACTCAGGTACCCTACTTGGGAAGTGAGGAGGCAGGTGCTACCGGTATGTAGCTACCCCTGCAATCCCCGGAGACGCACAGACGTCGACTCCACTTTGACGCCGTGTTTGGATTGTTTAGCGCTGCTAAGCTTCTGCTAGCGCATGCCAAGGTTGCCGCATTCATTCCCTTAACAATTTCTCTGTTCTTGCCTATCCGCCCTTAGAAAACGCGACCTTTGCCTCACCACTTTTTTTTTCTAAAGCGTCATTTCCCTTCTCCGCTGTCTCAGAACTTTGTAGGTATATTATGAGTTATTTTTTGGCCGTCGCTGCACAGATGGTCGCATTGGGCTGCCAAGACATGGATCACTTTCTCGTGCCAACACCGGGGTAGGGAAAACTTTTTTTTTCTTTCCTTCTTCCTCTGTCTCTCTTTCCTTTCCGTTCCCTTTCCTTTTGCATATCCACAACTGCGTGCAGCTGCTATGTTTTTTCAATGCTACTGCTCTCTTCAATGCGCAATGTCAGGAGCCATGACTGGGAATCCGACAATTGGGCCTTGACTACCTAATCACTGGACTGCCGCCCTTGTCGATGAGCACTTGTCTTGTCTCCGTTGATTTGACTTGATGGGGCCACGTGCGATACGGTCTGGCCCAGACTGTTCTGTTGGAACTCACCGAGCTTATGAGGGGTCTTGCCAACGGCCCGGGAGAAGGTATCTGTGATGTGTCCCACGCTCGCCTATTTAGTCCCAGACTAGGACCATAGAGGGGGGGTTCCCTTTGGAAGATAAATATCGCCTCCCGTGTTAGTGATACACTACCAGAGACCTCGATCTGTGATTTGAACCCCCCGGCCCCCAGGCTTGAACACTGCTCGAATTTCTTGAAGCGGTTCTCTGCCCGGAGGACGTTGTTCCTAACAAAAAAAAAAAAGATGTGCTTTGTTATTCCCCTTCTTTTTTACGTTCTTGTTTATACTATTTTACCTGCTTCAATCCGTCTCAAGCGCCTACCTAGTTGTGCCATGCCTATCTTGGCGAGTCCAACGGACGCGCGAATCCACACCCCCCCTCCTCCTCTGAGATGGGACGGGTTTCGGTCTGCATATTCTGCAGCCGCCTCTCTAAGACGTCATGACCATCTTGGTCCATCTGATCGATGGCCTAGGCCGACCCGTTCGTCTTGTGCTCCCCCACGACGGCCGTGCCATCCGCTTCGCTGACGGCAAAGTTCCACCCGAACTCGTCGGCGAGCTTGCCGAGCTGGATGCCCTTGAGCGTCGACAGCAGCCTCAGGCAGAGGTCGCCCGCCTCCTCCTGGCTCTCGGGGATGTACGTTACAGTCTCCTCGCCCGCCTTGGCGCTGCTGACGCGCTCGTGGGCGCCCGCCGCCGTGAGGGACTGCGGCGACGACGAGTCGATCCGGCGCGTGATGGATCGGATCGGCACCAACGCCGCCGCCGTGCCGGCCGCCATGACCTCGGAGAAGGTGGGGAGCTCGCTGTACTTGATCTACGCGGGCGGTCGGGTCAGTCAAGATGTGCCAACAGGGGCTCTCTCTCTCTCTCTTTCTCTACTTGTCTCTCGCCGCCGGACTTACCACTCGCTTCTCTACCTTCCAGCCGAAGCTGCGGGCAATTTCTTGGATGCTGTCGCTCGTCACGCTGTCGATGACGCACTTGGAGTCCGGCACCACGAGCGTGACGTCGTCGCCGTCCCTCCGGACGCCGATGAAGCCGCTCGTGCTGAACTCGTCAATGTCCTCGTGCCGGACGCTGTCGAGGTGCAGCGTGATGTCGTAGCCCTGGGCGCGGGCGCGGTCGCTGAAGCGCATCACGGGCGCGTAGTTGCCGCCCACCTTGGCATGGCCGGTGCCGTTGGGCGCGGCGCGGTCAAAGTCGTCGAGGATGAGGCACTTGACCGGGTGGCTCCCGTGGTAGGTGCCGGTGGGGATGACGAAGACGGCGAAGAGGTACTCCTCGGGCGCGCTCAGGCCGAGCTGGGCCGAGGAGCCGTACAGCTGGGGGCGGATGTACATGGCGGCGCCCGTCTCGTGGGGCGGGACGAAGCCGGCGTTGAGGGAGACGGCGGCCTTGCACGCGGCGAGGAAGAGCTCCTCGGGGACGCGGGGCATGGAAACGACGTCGGCCGAGTGCTGCATGCGCACGGCGTTCTTGTCCGGGCGGAAGATGTTGATAGTCTTGTCGCCGGGTGCACGGAACGCCTTGAGGCCTTCGTACGCCTGCTGGCCGTAGTTGAGGGCCGGCGCCATGCCGTGGATGCGCATGAAGGGGTCGGCGACGAACTTGAGGGGCGTCCATTTGCCGGTCGCGACGGAGTAGCTGGACTCGATGTGGCCGTTGACTGGAGAAGAGAGACGCAGTTAGTCGTGCGGTTTTGAAAGAAGAGGGTGGGTGGGCAGCAGCAGCAGCAGCAGTTGCTGCTGTAGCTCGCTGGAAGCGTCACGGACGGAGGCTCACCTTCGCGAACCTTGAAGCCGACATTGGACCAGTCAATGGTGGTAACCGGAGGGGGCGGGAAGGCTGCCATTGTGAATATCGTGTGCGGGTTCGGTCGGTCAAAGGTCGGTTGTGTGTAGTTGGTGGTTCTGAACGTCAATTGACTTTAGTTTTCTCTGTCTGGATCTCACGTAATGCCGCTCTGATATTTTCCCCCTCTCTCTTTGGTTGACTCACCTGGGGGAGGGAGTCAATTCCCACTTCGTCCTCAGAAAGTTTTGGAGGGGCGCCGATTGCGGGACTGCGGGGTGACTGTGCCTGAGTCCGCTGTACAATAGGTCCAGTCAAGCCTCGTTCATTGGCTGATTGCTTACTAAGGCGTCGAAACATCCCTGTCCGCCTCCGTCTGCCGGAGCTTGAAGGGCGCGAGGACGACATGGAGACAAGAGGCCCCGGCATGACGTCGCGTGTGTTATTGGCTAGCTAGTCAATTGACGATGCGAGGGTTGTTGGTTTTTGAAAATGCAAAGAAAGAAGCTTTTGGTGTAGGTTTATCAGGCACGGATAGAAGAAGTAGAGACAGAGGAACGTAAGTTTCCGAAATGCGCGGCATCGGCGTGGAATGGGACATCATCCATCCATCCATCCACCCGTTGGATAGAACGACACGCCTACTAGCCCGGCGGAATTCCACCAGCTCCTTGCAACCCTGAACAGGGTAGCTTTGTCCCACAATCGCTGGGTCAGGCAGCCAGCGTGTTCATCTTCGGCGGAGCGGCCCGGATGACGGGACAACCGTAGCAATGTGGACCCCGGACCCAAGAGTGTGACGGAAAGAGACAAGGACAGGAGTAGGATTCAAACCTCTGCTTCTGAGAGAAGCCGAGAGCTGAGGACAGAGGGCACGCGAGCCAACCAAGGCCTTCACACACGGGTCTCCCGTGTCTAGCGGGGCTCGTAATTTGGAACTTGGCCCGTCCGGCCAGGTTCTTGGTTTTCAGCATGGAACAATACTGTCGGAGATGACTCTCGAGTAGTGCGGCCTACCTCTCGGAGATGTTGGCAATAGACACGATGGAAGACGGAGATGGAGAGATCTGATATGTCATCAGAGGCTTGAATGGTGGACACTGCACTGCATTGGCCTCCGAGTGGGTCCTCCCCATGCCTGGCATGCCATCCGGGCTGCTCGTTCATCTCTTCGTCTGCCGCCTGCGGGGGCAGCTTTGCGGCCTCGGTTTATGCCGCTGTGAACAGGACTCATCACTCTATTATAGGTTTTCCATCAGATTGGAACAGAGGTGTTGGATGTCTCTTTGCAAGACGCACTTGTTGGCGTCAAGTGATATTAGATGTAAAAATATTCCTTTTTAGGTACAAGTTATCGATGGCATGATACCTCTTTTTGATACCAAGCTACGCGCTGTCTAGTCTTTGACTTGCCATATCTCGCCGCCACTATAAATATACAAGATGCCCTTTCTCGGCATCCGACTTATGGCCCATTGTTACATACGGTAAAAGGCCAAAGGAAAGCAAAACGCAAGCTCAAAGTTTGGTAATAATACAAGGAAGTAGGGGAGGGGTATGTTCTGATTGGGTACTGGGAGCATGCAATCCGTCTTTCCGGGGGGTATCAGCATTCAATCGTCACAAGCTTTCACGTTGAGTTCTGCAGCAGCCGGTAGCAGGCGAACAAAACTAGAGCGTTTAGGACTCGTGCGGTTTTGCAGTACCGAAAACGGATGGGATGGAGGAGGGAAAAAGGGAAAAGAAAAAACAAGATGCAAGAAAGGGGGGCCGAATGCAAACGGAACGGAACAAGATGAAAAAGAAATACCAATAAAAAAAAAGACATTAGGAAATATTTCCTTTAAACGAGGGTTCGCTCCTCGATGCGTGGTGGTGCATGCCAATCAATGCAATAGTCGTCACTGTTTCCTCAAAAAATACCCGCGCCTTCCTGGATCCTTCGCCGACAAAAGACCAAGATGACAAGAAAAGGAGACCGAACGAAACCCTGGCTTCGTGTTTTATACGCCATCACACTCCATCTCTCCACCTTGTACTGACCCACCGCAGTATCATCTGCCTCGTGTTATGGCCAGGTCAACATCAATTGTAATGTGCAGAGCCAAACGCTGAAAACTCCAGGTCACAGCATAGCAGGGACTGTTTGAATTGCTCAAAGAACTGTACTTCAAACTCTCCACGGGTGACCTCTTATTGGGTCGTGGCGAGCTTCTGGAGCGCAAGTAAAACACCTGTCCGATCATTAGCATCATTGCACAACTCTGGGTCATCAGAACTCGACTTACCGCTCACACCCTGGGTCAGGGTGAAGCCCGCCTCGGTGTTGCGGCTGTGCAAGCTGACCGTAACGACGTCCTGAACCACCTTTTCACTACCAAGCGCGTTGGCCCACTTGAACACCTTCTCGTCCTCGCGTCCGTCTCCCACCACCATGAGGAAATCAACAGGACTCTGATGCTCCGTGTCGGGCTGCATGTGGATGCGAAGGTCGTCAAAGATCTTCTCGGCCGCAGTGCTCTTGGTCCAGTCGATGGGCTCAACGACGATGGAGCCGTCTAGGGGGATGGCGTGGACGCGCTGCTCCTCGCAGGCATCGTTGACGTGGCTGGCACAGTCAGAAGCCTGGCGAGCCGCAGACTCGTAGTCTTCGGCGCTCTTGTAGTGGAAGATCAGGCTGCACCGGCGCTCCTCGATCTCGGCACCAGGAGTGCGCTCAAGGTAATATGTCATGATCGACTTGACCGACTCCTTCCAGCTCGAGATCTGCTCCTTGTCGGCCATCTCTTGCCATGTGTTTTTGCCACAATCCTTGAGGAAGCAACCATTTTCGGCAATGAGACCCAAGTTGGGGACCCGGCGGAACAGTCGGTCAAGCTCTTCGGGACGGCGGCCGGACATGATATAAACGGTGTTGCGCTCGTCGAGCAATAACTCATTGAGCACATCCAGCGTGCGCTGCTACAGTTAGCATCTTTGGTACACAGGGGAAACCCGCGAGCATCCTTACCTGAGGACTGACGGGAATGATCTGGTTCATCGGGCCCCAGCTAACCAAGGTTCCTTCGTAGTCGAGGATGAACAGCCGGCGGTTGCTGCCCTTGTATCTCGAGGCCAGGGAGTGGATATTGAGGCGCGGAACAGAGGTCTGGTCGTGCTTGTGCTGCTCGTCGTACACGCGGTCCAAACGGGACAAAAACTCGCTGAACCAGTGCGAACCGGTGTGGTGCATGACGGCCGAGTACAAAGCGCCCCAACGACGCTCCTTCTCCTCATTGCCCATCTCGAGGGCCTTCTTGATGGCGTCGGCGCATTGGCGGTAGTCCCAAGGGTTGACTGCGAGCTCATTGCCACCGAAAAGCGAGGATGTGCCGGTAAACTCGGAAAGGATCAGGGAGCCGTGCTTCTTCTCGGGGAAGACCTCGCCGTCCTGGCAGAAGAGGTATTCGTGAGACGTCAGGTTCATGCCCTCACGCTGACTCGTTATCATCAGCGCGTCGGCCATTGTCAGCAGAGCGAGGTACTGAGGGTAGTCGATGTCTTGCTTGAGATAGACAACAGGCTGATAAGCCAGGTTCGCCCACGAGGAGTTGACTCGTGTGACGATGTCGCTAACGGTCGCGTCCAAGTCGGACTTCTCGCTGCTAGACAGCGCCACTTGAATGAGGACGGTCTTATCGCGCCAATCCGGGTTCTTGTTGAGGAACAGCTCGTACGACAGAAGCTTCTGGCGGACGCCGCGGACGTGGTCAAGCTTGTCACGGGCGACGATGAGCTTCTTACCCTGGTAGCGCTCCTTCATGATCTTGACCCAGCTCTTCACGTCGTCGTCGCCACGGTGCTCGCTCAGGCTGACAGGGTCGATGCCAATGGGCAAATTGACGACATCGACGAAGCGGTCCTCCAACTGAAGACCGTCGGTGGTCGCTTCCACGTTCAGCAGTCTGCTGCAGGTCTGGAGGAAGTGGCGGGTGTACTCGTGGATCTGGAAACCAATGAGGTTGGCGCCCAGCATGCCCTCGAGGAGCTGTTTGCGCACAGCGAGACATCTGAAAACCTCGGACGAGGGGAAGGCGACGTGCAGGAAGAAGCCGATCTTAGCTTCGGGCAGCTTCTTGCGGATCATGCCGGGGACGAGCAGCAGATGGTAGTCGTGGACCCAGATGACGTCGCCGCGTTTCCAATTCTTGACAATCTTGTCGGCGAAGGCTTGGTTGACGTTGACGTAGTACTTCCACGAATGGTCCTCGAAGGCCTTGCTCTTGGGGTTGTCGGGGATCTGGTAGTGGAAAACGGGCCACAGGATCTGTTTGCAAAAGTGTGTGTAGTGGCCGTCGAAGTCCTTGTCGGATGTGAAAACGGTGAGCATGTCGTGCTCGGTGGCGAGCCTGTCCTCGATGTCTTGCTTCTGCTGCGAGCCCTCGAGGGCGTCGGTAGGCATACCGAGAGTGCCAACCCAGGTGTATTCGCCAAGCTTGCCGTCGCGGGCAGCGGCCTCGGCGGCGTTGCGCAGGCCGCCGTTGCCCTGGTCGGCGTTCATAATGCGCCAGTTAGCGTGGGCAAAGACGCGGTCGTGGCTGTCGCTTCTAACGAGGGGCCGAGGCTGGGTGACGCCCTGGCGGCCCAATTCCCTGGCCTTCTCGAGTGTGCGACTGTGCTCAGCGATGAGGGCGGGCGGAGGCGAGCTCGCGCGCGACTTGGGCTGGGTTGCCCGAGCACCCCATTTGGGAGATCCCTTGTCGACGGGGGCACCAAGCTTGCGCTCCTCCTCGGGGAATATGCGGAAGCCATCCTCGTTCGTGAATGGGTCCTCGGCGATGGCTTCTTCGGTCGGCGTAATCGGGGGTGTGATGTCACGGATCGGGTTGAAGAGACTCGGCTGGCGATCGGGCTCGGGACGCTGGGCCTTGTCGGTTCTGACGCGGCGCAAAGGGTCTCCTCGTTGGGAGGTACCCGGCAGCGCGAAGTGGACGGTTTTGGGGAGGAATCTAGAGTCGCCACTGTTAGATTGCCGTCTGACAGGGAAGTGCAGCCAGGGTTCGAGGGCATATCACGACCAGTGAAGGACGTAGCTGTTGGCGAAATTTTGCGCAGAGCGGGGTCATGCCGGAAGCTCTTTTCGTGGTCGACCTTGGTGGCAGGGGGCAGGACAAGACAACAGGGAGTGGAACAGGGGCCAGAACTCACAATGATGCGATGAAGACCGTCATCCTGGGCTATTTGGCTACTGTTGAGCCTTCTGTATCGCTTTTGTAAAGAAGAGCAAACAAGTACAAGACAAGAAGCCAACGTTGGGTGGCAGATTCGAGTCTGGAAGACCGAGGAGCGAGGTCGCCAAGACTAAACGAGGTCTGATAATGCAAAGTAGACGAGGATGAAGCAGGTGCTATGAGCAGCTTTTCATAGACCAGAACATGTGGGAGGAGTCGAATGTCGAAAGGGGGGTTGGTTGGATGCAACCTTGTTCAGATTCCGGTGACGGGATCGCTAATGTCAAGGCGACAACGAAAATGGCGAAAGGGAATAAGTGCGAGGCGAGATAATGCTCGTTTGTCGTTGGTCCGGAGAAAGGGGACCAAGTACCTCAGTTTCTCTCTGTGGAGAAAAAAAAAAATGGAGGACGGAGGTAGGACTGAGCGGCGTGATGGAAGGACGACAGCGTGTGGCTGAGGGTGAGTGAGGTATGATTGGATTTATGTGTCTCAGACACAACCCGGAATAAGGCGAGGCCGTCAGTGAGTAAGGTAAGTGGGAAGAGTGTGTGTGGAACAGGGTGAGGTGAGATGTGTGTGGTGTCCGACTGTGGGCAACTTAGCTTAGCTGCTCGGAGCTGTGCTTGTTTGCCTGATTGCTTGGGCGCGCGCGCGTGTTGTTATGTTATGTTGATGTTGCTATTGCCAGGAGCTAGACAAAAAAAGAGTGCCGTCAGCTTGAGCCTTTTCCCCAAGCTCCTTGACCAGGACGAGGGAGCCAGAGTCTGAACCTTGCGTAATTATGTGCAAAGAGGACGGGCGCAGGCGCAGGCACATGCAGGAGCAAAGGAAAATAATAAAGCTTGCAAGGGGAGAGGAAGAATGTATGGTTGGACCACTGGGCGGGCGATGCAGCTGCGAGGCATCGATCGGGCAAGGAGAAGGGTGAGATGATGAATGGAAGAAGAGTCTTGCGGCCGTTGTGCCTTGTGATGTGATTGTTTCCTTCTCCTCTATTCTCGGCCGCTCTTTTTCTCTCTGTTTTTTTCTGTGTTGTTTTCTCGAGAATATTCGAAAGTGGATCTCTCTGCGGTTTTCCGTCCCCTTGGGTGACGATGCGATGCGAGGGGGCAGGGGGGTATGTACGTGTGTGGGATTGAAACGGGATGGAACGGGGTGATGGACTTTTAGTGTGGGTTTATGGTGAATAATTGGGCAGTCAGTGTGGCGCGGGAGGGAGGGACTGTCACTAGGTGAGAAAAAGGCAAAATGTGACCTGGATCGGGGCTGGTAGAGTGTGAGGCGGGGTTGGTTGGGAGGCGACAAGAACGGGCCTGGGCCAGATGATGTGTCCAGAATGGGATGGAAATGGAAATGGAAGACTCGGAATGCAACTGCATGAAAAGCAAGGGAAGACAGGCCACTCAACGAACAAAAACAGGCATTGAGGTACATAAAATAGAGAGAGGGGGGACAGGATGATGGAGAGAAAGAAAACAAAATAAAAATAACATATGAATTGGTGCTTTCACTGTGACGCCATTAATGGGACAACCCACAGCTTTCTCTCATATGTCTTGTCACCCAGGTACGGATACTCACTCACTCACTCACTCATACCCATGGGCCCAAAGGAAAGAACAGAACAAAACGTACCCGAGCTTTTCGTCTTCTTTTCTTCCCCCCTGCGCAACGGCAAGGAATGTCAGTGACGTAATGAGGAAACCGGGTGCACACCCCGAGGCGTCGGCTAGGAAGCTAAACGCGTAACTATGGTTGAATCGACGAGCTAATGCACGCCCGCCCCGAGAACGAACGGGACCGGAGAGGAGGAGAATGGCTGAGAGTCGATGGCACTGGACGTTGAGGCGCTGCCAGATGCAACGAGCCGGCCGAGGCCCCTGCGGTTAGGAGCTAAAGGAGGAGGTTCCCGCTAATATGATGATGATGAACTACCGGCAATTTGATTCGATCGTTTGTTTGGCTGGGGCCCTGTATTCGGCCGCGCAGCTTGCCTGATTGCTTTCTCGATTGCTTGCTTGCCCGGTTTAGATTTTTCTTTTTGTTGGCCTTTTTGTCGGCTTTGCCATAAGTCTTAGGTATTTGAATCAGCTGTCGATGAGGATCTGGTTAGACGTCGGTAGGACGGCCGGCGAATTAGATTCTCACCAGATGGCTGATATCCCTGATCTGCTCTCGATATGTTTCGGATCGAGTCACCGACTCCTTCTCACTTTTTTGGTGTTAATGTCGTTTTAAGTTGGCGCCCAAAGCAAGGTATCCCACGTTGTCGCACGCTCAACGACAGTGAACCGGCGGACTGACTGGGGAAGGGGGTGGAGATGGATGGACAACTGCAGCCCGGGCGGCCGACAGAAAGTGACGGAATCGACGGAGCAGGGGAGGCCAGAAACGGGAGAATAAGAACTGGAGACGCCCGCGCTGTTTGTTGGGCTAGGCCGTGAGATGAACAGAGGCGGAGTGTAAGTAAACGGTGGATACCTTTTAACCTAAACTAGGTAGACTCGGGAGGTTTTGGTCCGCCAAAAGCTTCAACTGTGGGTGTGCTGAATAGCTATTCTGACCTCGTCAAAAGTGACGATGATGTATGGGAGTGGGAAAACTCGCCCGGGATAAATCAAAATCAAGAAGGAGCCAAGGAGCCAAAAGTGCGAGCTGATGTGGGGGACATGGAGACGAGGAACAGGGAGAGATATCGAAGATCGAGGATGGCCCGAGACTTTTTATCTCACCAGCCCAGCCAACTAACTGGATGTGTGATACTGCCTGCACGTACGAAGAAGACGACGACAACGACGACGCGAAAGCGAAGGGCGGCACCCAGTTGTGTGGAGGGGCCGGGATAGAACCAGACGGAGACATGGCCGGGATTATTACGGGCAGGGGGGGGGGGGGGGGGCAGGAATGATGGGAGGGTTTTTTTATTTTATTTTTATTTCTTTGGTTATTTTGGCTCTGTGTTGGTGTATTTTTTGTTTCCCTCTCATTTCCAGGTCGGCATCCCATCTGATCTAGTGCTCCCTCGCTCTCGGCGCAGGCCGCGCAGACAACAGCGGCAAGTAATCGCTCACCTAGAATAATCCAACCCCCCGATGGGGAGGGGAACAGGCACGTACCACCATGCAACGAGCAGAGCTTGGGTCCGGCGAGATTGCAAAGCGAGGTGGGTGAGCCGGGGTCGTCCTCAAGGGTCGCCGTCGTCTCGTCTTGGACAAGCTCAAAAGTGAGAAATGCGACGTCTTGCGGCAAACGGCTTGCTTTGGTGATGGAGGGAGTGCCGCCTTTCCCATTAAAGACGGGGCGTGTAGACAGTGTATCGTTTGAGTTTCCGAGCGGCGCCGCGACTGGATCCCACCCTACGTGCGATCGGGATTTGAAGGAATCATCTCCCTCCCCTCCTGGGCCGCTGCTGCTATGGCTACTACTACTGGGCTGCTTCCGAAGTTAGGTTGCGAAAAGAAAAAGGAAAACATCATCTTCTTGGGGTCTGTACAGTAGCGTGCAGCGTGCAGGGTAAACTGTACAGTGCTCATCGTTCTCGCTGAGACTCGTTGGAGGATGTTGGGCCGACAGGGTTTTTGGGCCTGTCCATCATCCGGCCAAGACACATGCGACAAGGATGCTTCGGGAACAACTGGATAGAGGGCCGCAAGCTTGGGGACGGCGGGCTGAGGCTGGGTTACGGGTGTCCCGTCCAGACACGGAGACAGACCAGACGAGACACGGGTGCCGATGAAGAAAAACTGGGCTGGCGGGTGTCAGCCAGTGAGTGAGTGCAGTGAGTGAGAGAAGGAGAAAAAAAAAGTGACTGATGATGGACTAATCACACTTCGCAAAGCCATGGCCGACATAAGCCGTTCCGTCCCGCGATGACCAGAGAGAGCTCTCCTCCTCTTCGTTGTCTGACACTCCAATGGTCGGCCCGTTTCGCTCATTTATGACCACTTTCTCACTTCGGACACGCTTCTCGCGCCGTCATGACACTGCTCGGTGTCTAGACCAGGACCGGCCCTGGCCTCTACCACCACCAGTGAGCAAGCGACTTATACTACCTACCTGAGGGTCTTGAGTGCTGCTGTTTGGGCGAGTTATCGTGACCTCTCCTCGTCCGCCCCGTTAGCTTCTGAAGGGCCCGAGCAGCATCAACAAAAATGCAACCAGCCCGCCTTGCCGCGCAACCTCTGACTGATACTACATGACATTTATAGATGTACGGATAGATAATATACATCTGAGTTGGTAGGTAGGTAGGTAGACAGGTGAATGTGCCGTTGTTGCAACTGGACAAGTGCCACACGTCGTAAGCCACTCATGTCACAATTGGGCAGACAAGCAGACAGGCAGGCAGGCAGGCGCACCGGTCCCATGAAGGACAGAGGGAGGGAGGGAGGTACTTGCCATCCGGAAATCCAACGTCCATGAGTAGGGCAAGAGCATGTTGTGACGCGAGATAATTAGTCCCTGTACCTGCACCTGCCTAGCTATGGTACCTGTACGTACATTGGGTACCTCGCCCAGGGCGGCATCACGATGATCATGTGGCATCTGCTTCCCTCCTACACCAGCCAGTTTTGTACGATGTACATCGTCGTCGTCCTGTCTTTCGCTCGGCCATATCCCCCTTTCTTACTCCCTGTCTGTAGGCATTGTATCTCCCTTCAGCTTCGCTTCTCTTTCCTCTTCCCTGGCTGAATGAGGGGAAGCGCAAACACTAACACTAAACAACGACACCACCACTACAGCCATTCCCGCCGCCACCACATCCCTCTCGTCGCTCAACGCCAACAAATCATCACAGCCACCACCACAACTTTGAGTGGTTGCTCGAAGAGATTCGGCAAAGGCATCGATCACCGCCCAATGATTGACCGATACCACCATGCTAGTAGCCCGTGCCTTTCTGTCAGATTGCCGCCGCCGCCGACAGCTACCTGGATACCAGAGACGCACGCATGTCCCCGCCTGCACATACGGCTTTCCAGCTTGTACATGCACCTCATCCTACCTGCCCTACCCTGCCACCAACTCACCATAGACTTTGGAATCCGAAAGCATCAGGCTTCGCCTCACGATGAACACCCTCCAAGCCAGTAAGATACTGACAAAGCCTTCCACTCGCAGCCCGTTGCGTGGCCCTCCTCTGGTCATGCGTCCCGCCACGCCTCGCTGACGAACACTCCCAGATACACTACCGCAATCTTGTCTGCTCAACTGTCCGCCGCCGCTTGCCGCGCCTCTGCGTGACAACATACGGTCTAGCTGAACAGACATCCAGCCATTCTTTGTGGCCATTACGTTTGGTTTTCGGTCGTCACTGAAACCACCCTGTACTGCTCCGAAGCTTCGTCCAGAACCAGCACCCGTCGTCAAAGGCTCACCATATCGTCGCCCGCTGTCCTCTTGACCGAATTAACTCGGTGTCTCTATTCTGAGAGCTTGTTCTTTCGCGTCCACGTCGCATTGGGCTGGTGCTATGTCGATCCCTAAATAGCCTCCCGGACAGCCTTCTAAACGACACCACCTCCGACGTTCCATACTTTTAGCCGACTAACGAGTTTAGCTTCTCTACAACCTTGACCATGGCAATATCTGACAAGAAGCCTGCTACCACAGCTGGCCATGGCAGGGTGTTGATCAGAGCCTCCAGAGTTTGACCGAGTGACCAAGCAACCTCCTATGCACCTTTTCACAATGCCCAAGTCATGCCCAGGCACCCCTGGCAAAAACGCCGGCCCTGGCCGGGCCCATGCGCCATGCGAGCTCGAACTCCTGTTCCACGTTTCTCCTTCCTCGCTTTCTTTGGTGTCGCTATTGGAGACCAGAGCCCCTGTCGGCGGGATGGGCACCTCGGCCCATGTAACAAGCGCACCTCTCTGGAGACGCGTTCATAGATGGGGAGCGACCTCCATTCCGTCTCCATCACGCAAGTCATTCAATCAATCAGCCGGCTGGTTCGGCCCAGTTATCCACCTATATTGATTGATCCACTTGGACGGGAGGGATGGCTCGGCAACGCCCACCAACAGACAGGTCGCGGGACGGGGCGGGGAAACTTCGCCTTCTGGGCTTCTGTCAGTACCTATTTATCTGATGAAGAAGTTGGACAAGACTCACTGCCGCATCCGCTGGCCCTATCAACACCCCAAAGATTCCCCCGCCTACTGTATAAACCCTTCCCTGTCTGAAGGAAGCATGTGCTTGCTGCATGGACACCGAAAGAGTTCCTCACCACCACCACCACCACCAACAGCTGTGTCCTCGCCCTCAACCAACCCCGCCGAGGGGATGAGGGGTTTGTAATGACAAGAGAAATTGAGGGGCCGAACCATGACCTGAACGCGTGTTGCCAAACTCTGGGCCACTGGGCATGATGATTGAACTAGTGCATCGACTAATAGCACCTCGCTATCTGGCGTCGAGGCCTCGGCTGAAATGAGGGGTCCGTTCTTGATCCCGTCCGTCGAAGCCAACCCCACACCTGGAACAGCCATGGTGATGAGAATGTCGCACGTCGTCGGCCTTGGATTTCCCACACCCCCCTCAAGCACTACATCGACGATGGATGCATTCACTAGGGAGAGATTACACGAATACCTAATCGGCAAGTGCGACGGCATTGATCCTTTGAACCATTGAGTGAAGTATCACCAACTGCTCCTCTTGGTGTTTGTTGGGCACTGAAATAGCAAAACATCTTCACCTATCGGTGGAAATGCCTCGTTCATGGCCGATAACCCTGACAGTCGTAAATCCGGTAGCCGTCACTGCCCAATCAATCCCGAAAGACGGATCTGGCTTCGCATCTGGAATCTTCCCTCCAGTCACAGCTTTCACATCAGCCCCGTGGCATCTGTGTAGAAGCTGGGGACTTACGGATAAGACGAAAAACCCCACAGCCAGATCCAGTTGGTATTCCATTTCTCCGCACACACCTGGCAGAACGAATCCCAGCCCCGGCCACACACCCTCTTTTCCAACTGACAACCCCAGCTGCATGCTACGATGTTGCCATGCACTGCTCCTAACCTTTACTCCTCAGATTGATTCCTCTGTGTGCTCTCACTATTTGCTTCCAGTCAACCACATGGACGGCACACGCCCGAAATCTCCCGATGGTGCAGTGGACTCTCTCTTAGTTCTTACAGCTTCTATAGGTAGGCTAAATACCAGATGGCAAGCAGCCAATTTTCAGATTCGCAAGCGCGTCAGGACTAGCAGATGTGTCGTCAACGAAAGCGCAGCCTTGAACTTAACCGACAGCGAACCAAGCCCGGTCTTGTTTTCCCCAGCGCTGGCTGCAACCTAGCCGTTTTGCATGTGCCCAGCTACTTGGATGCGGAAAAGGACCCCATCATTTCTGACAGAACTTTTGGTGCCTGTTTTGCTCAGAACGCTCTTCCTAGGCCTGAGCTCGACACAAGATTCATCTTGGGTTTTCTGAGGCCACCCTTTTGACCAAAACTCTTGTTCTGGTATCCACATCCCAATGTCCCAAAGCTTCATTAGACTGTCGGTCATTCGGCCCAAAGGGCCAGAAGTTCGGCTTGAAACGACAACGGCCTCGCCGTGATGGCTTACTAGGGGCGGCCCGGCCCTGTCATTCCGCCAAAGCGCTGGCGTTGCTTTCTGCAGCACATTGCCATCACAGTCATGTCAGAATTGATGCCGAAATGGCACACCCCACCAGTAGAGCAGTTTTGTACCCTAACACAGGCGGCCTCCCTTGATGCGGAGAGATGTTGGATGGAAAGGCCGCCCCTGGGCAGATGGGATGGATGGTCGGGCTTGACGGATACCGCCAAGGCCATGTTGCAGAAGAACATGCAGCATTCGACTTACGGCGAGGCGCGTCTTTTCAGCCTCTCTGGCATGGCCTACATTTCGGAGCATTTTGACTCGTTCTTTTCTACATTCAAGTAGTACGAAGGCGCTCTAATTCAATGGACGCGTGACCCCGTGGCTGCCATAACAGCGAACATGGCCGCTTGCTCTCGCTTTTGAGATCGGCGAGTTCTGCAGGGGATCGAGAGGCACGGATGATGATCAGTTCATGTGTGGAGATTTTCATGTAATGATACACCGTCCCCACGCGTTGCGTGCATGTGATGGTTCGAAATGCTCCGGCAAGAGGAAGAAACGCCGTAGAGCTCTGGTGACAAAAAGAAAATGGATGGTCTCCGCATCGACATTTGACTTTCTTAAAGGCTGGGGAGTGATAGATGATATCATGGCTTGACTCGGTCAGTAGATGACCTGGTACACGGCGCAAACGCCAATATTCCGTCACATCCTGTCCAATATGCTGCGGGGGAAGGCCCGATGCGACTCCGTTGACCCGCGATCGGAGCCGAAATTGACGGGTGGAACCGGGCCTGATGCATCTTAGGGTTGGTCCCGTCCTCTCGCCTAGACTGAAGACACATCAAGGGCCTGCGAATGACTAAACGAGAATAAATATAGTGAGAGGTCTCGACTATCATTGGGCAGAGGTCGATTGTCTGGGCGTTGAGGATGCAATCGAGGGCTGGTCATTACGTACTTATGATTAACAGTCCCGCCGCTTGACGATATGGTGTCGTTGGTAATCTCCACGACAGATACAAACTTGTACTAGACACTCTCCCTGGTGTCCCCGGAGCTTTCCCTACCGAAGAACGGCATCATTTCATGGGCCCGGTGTCAGGCACACGTCTCGCACAGGCCAGGCTGCGTAAAGTCATCGGGAAACGCACAGCTTCATGGCAATATCGCAAGATTCCATGAGGGCCATGCTGGAGTAGACTTATCCGCGTGCTAGACACACGTCTCAGCTCAAGCGGCTAGACGAAGCAATATAGTCAATCGCCGAGCTACGGGGGCAGACGACAGATGAAGAGGGTCTTAGTCGAGCGGCATCCCCCCTGAGGGTGGCGCGGGTGCATAGTAGAAATGGCCATGTCCAAACATGCCCTGCGGCTACTGGATGGTTCAGGCGCAATGGCAAACACAACCGGCTACCAAAGGATGGAGGAGGAGAAATTGTTGCTCGCCAAGTGTGAAAAAAGGGGGTATATATTCTCTTTTATGTATCCGTATGCCTAGATGCCGAAACAAAACCCATCATCCACCGCAACCAACCACACGCGACGAGCGCGGACCTCTTCTAGTGACACCACAGCCGAACGGCCTTATCCTTACCGCCGCTGCCCACGCGCATGCCATCCCTCGGGCTCCAGTCGACGGCGTACACCTCGTCCTGGTGGCCCGGGAGGTCGACCTGCAGCTTGCACGTGGCCATGGACCACACCTTGAGCGTGGTATCCTTGGACGCCGTGACGAGCAGACGCGAGTCGGCCGAGAAGGCGCACTGGTAGACGGGGGCGACGTGGCCGCGCAGCGTGTTGATGAACTTGCCGTCGCGGGCGCTCCAGATCTTGGTGTGGTTGTCCCAGCCGGCGCTGGCGATGAGGGTGCCGTCGGGCGAGAAGGTGACGTGGTTGACCTGCTTCTGGTGGCCCAGCATGCGCGCCACGGGCTTGGTGCCCTGCGAGGGGTCCCAGAGGTACATGGTGAAGTCGTCGCTGGCCGAGACGAGGCGCTCGGCGACCTTGCCCTGGAGCCGGGCGGCCTTCTCGAAACGCTCCTTGGCCTTGGCGCGGCGGGCGTCCTCGCCGTCGGGGGTCGGGGTGTGGTCGAAGAAGCCGGTACGGAGGGCGAACTCGGTCGAGAGGGCGAGGTGGTTGACCCAGTGGGCGTGGGACGAGAGGGTGTGGACGAGGGTGCCCTTGACGGCGTCCCAGACCTTGACGGTCTTGTCGTGGCTGCCCGTGTAGACGAGGCCGGTGCCGCCCCACTTGACGCAGCTGACGCTGCTCTTGTGGCCCGAGAGGACGTGCTCCGTCCGGCCCGTGTTGACGACCCAGATGCGCACCGTGGCGTCCTTGCTGGCGCTGGCGAGGCGCGGGGTGCCGTCGCGCCAGAGGTGGTAGGGTTCCCAGGCGATGTTGGTGACCCATTTGGCGTGGCCGGCCAGCGGCTGGCCGACGGCGGCGCCATTGTCCGGGTTCCAGAGGCGGACCGTCTTGTCCATGCTCCCCGTGGCGAGGCGGCGGCCGTCGGCGGACCAGGCGACGCAGAGGACCCAGCCGGCGTGGCCGGCGAGGGTGAACTTGGGGGTGCCCGTCTCCGTGTCCCATATCCGGGCCGTCTTGTCGCCGCCGCCGGTCGCGAGCCGCTTGCTGGTCTCGGGGGAGAACTGCGCGGCGAGGATGGCCTCGCCGTGGCCGGGGATGCGGTGGGCCATGCGCGTGACGGCCTGCACCTTGAACACGGCCTGGGGCTCGGCGCTGAGGGTGACTGTGGTCTCGAAGGGGTTCGCGACGCCATGGCTGCGGAGGAGCTCAAGGAGGTTGGTGGGGTACTGGTCGACGACGATGTCGGAGTCGGGGATGTGGATTCGGAATTTATACGGGAGGAAGTCCTCTCTGTTCTGCGTTTCGGTGTTAGACGGCGATGACGGCGACTGTTGATCGCGGGGCAGGGGGGAGGAGGAGGAGGAGGAGGGAGGGGTGGACAGGTGAACGGGGATTTTGACTGACCTTGCCTTGCAGAGTGTTGAGGAGGAGCGTGAGGTTCTTCTCCGAGGCGTCGGCGAGGGGCACCTCGATCACCTCGGCCAGCTGCTGTCCGTCGCCGTCGACGAAGCGGGCCTTGAACGAGCCCTCGAGCCCGGGCGCGACGGCGGTGACATCCTGCTGCGTCTGGGTCTTGGCGAGGGTCTCGCGCTTCTGGCGCTTCGAGGGCGGGGGTACCACCGTCGACATGTTGCGATGCTGGCTTTCGTCGGTCGGTCAGTCAGTCGGTTCGTCGAGCGGGTTTGTTGGAAATATTTCAGAAGGCGGCGATGCGGGATGGTGGGGCAGAAATTTTGTGAAAAAGGGACCGGGGGGTGTGTGTGGGGGAACCACCCGCGCGGTGAACCAGGGGACGGACCACCGGCTAAAACTTGCCCGTGGTTGCGACGGTAGGTAACTCAATGTACTCCGTACCCTGGAAAAAAAATATAGAAGGAAAAAAAACGTCAGCGCTAACAAGCGTGGGCGAGGCCATAGGAAGACTCTGTTAGGTAGCGAGAGCATAGGTACTGACAGATAAGACAGGAAAGCCTCCTCTCTAGGTATGTTCAGATGATGGGGGGAAAAACAAAAACTACCGAGGGCAAGTCATCCTTGCGGATCCTCTTCCACCTCTCTCCATATATGTGTGCTTTTTCAAACATAAGAAAGAAAGCATGTCCAGTCAGCTGCTGCACTGATCTCCCTATAAACGCCATTCCCCAAATCCTCCCAGTCGTACGTAGTCATCCATACCTAAGCCCGCTCCGCCCTTCCCCCGGTTCATATTAAATACCGAGCCTGCCTACTTCTGGCGCATTACTGCTCTCTTCTTGGCCCTCTCGGGCCCCCACTGCTACCTCGTCATGTGAAGACTGGCGTCGAGGCTCTGATCCATGTTTGTCTTCTTGGGCCGGCCGCGCCGCTTCGACCCGGTGGCCGGCGAACCCCCGGCACCTCCCTGCGGAACGGCGTTGTTGACCGGCGTCCCCGCGTAGTGGCGGAACACTGCTGCATTGGGTGGCGCCGACTGCATGCCGGACTGTATGCCGAACTGGGGCACCGGGATGGGCGTTTGCTGGACGGCGTTCTGCTGGAATGCGTTGTTCATTTGCTGCCCGCGCATCTGCATTGTCCTCTGGTTCCTTTCCTCCATCTCAGCTTGGCGGTCCCGATACTGGACGTGCTCATCGTGGGGGTTCTGTTCGAACGGGTGTTTTGGCATCCCCGTCATGCCGTCCCGAGACATCTGGTTCAACTGTTGCTGGACGTGGTTGTGGTTGTGGTTATGATTATGATTCTGCACTTGCGACTGTTGGTGCTGTTGACGCTGCTGGTGTTGTTGTTGTTGTTGTTGCTGTACCTGTTGATGCTGAAGCTGATGCTGTTGTTGAGGCATCGCTTGCTGCTGCTGCTGCTGCTGCTGCTGCTGCTGTGGTGGTGGTGGTTGCTGTGGTGGTTGCTGTGGTTGCTGTTGCTGCTGTTGTTGCTGTTGTGCCTGCGGCTGTTGTGGTTGCTGCTGTGACTGTGGCTGTTGCTGTGGTTGTTGCTGTTGCGCGCTTTGCGACTTACGTCTGTTCTCTTCAATCTCTTGATGCTTCTTCTCCTGTCTGGCCTGCCGTTCTTGCCTCTGCATGTCTTCGTTCTCGACAGCGTAAATGGCCGCTATACGTAGTTGCAACTGTGCAAGTATGCCTAACCGTTCTGGCTTCGACATTTTTCGATATTCTGTTTTGAAGTTGTGGAAGACGTCGCCGGTAAGTCGCATCGTGTTAGGCGTAACGCCGACAACTGCGAGTAGGGCAGCTGTCGTAGGATCTGGCGCCGGGCCAGAACTCTGTACTTCAGAAACTGTTCAAATGAGTATGTGTCGACAGCTCGCGGGCCTTGAGGGAAAACATACCAGCTGGTGCGTCCTGGACAATGTCGGCGTCTCCCTCTGCATCGGCATCTTCCTCGTCGGTCGGCGGGTCGGGGGTTCGTGCCTCATGGTTATGTTCGCTGCATATGATTGTCAAGATCCATTTCCCCAAGGTCTTGCGATTCACGGCCTTGGCCTTCCACGGGCAGTTGGTCTTCTTCGTCGACGTCTTGAGCTGCGTCGCGGTGCACTTGTACGGCTGTCCACCTCGGTCGCACACGAGGTCGCATCGGACGACCTCGCTGCCCTTCTCGTAGGTGCCGCCGACCTTGTTGCGATGGGTGCGCGACTTGACGACCTTGTAGCCGTCTTTCTGCATGCGCGACTTGAGTGCGGCGAACAGCTCGTCGAACGAGGCATATTCCTCCGTGCCGTCGTTGCGGTCGCGGGCACCCAAGATGCCGAACATGCTGTCGGCGAGCGGCGGCGACTGGAAACCAGTGTCGCAATGGCTTCGGCTCGCGCTCCCAGCCTCGAAGCAGTCGAGGACGGATTTAAGATGGGGGGTTTCGAGTCGTGGTGTCGCGGCGCGACGCGATGCGGCGGCGGAGAGCTGTGCGGATTGCTGTAATGGCCTGTAGCAAACTCTTCCAGACGTATCGGGGCCACGGGGAATGACGAGATGACTCCACCTTTCGCGATCACATTTGTGGCTGGGGTGTTTCCTTGCTCGTAAGGATAGACATGGTCTGTGCTTCCTGTGGCTGGTCGTTGTGGCTCCACCTCCAAACTCGGTCGGGACAACTCCGGTTCGCCGTGTAAGTCGGGAAGGAGTGCTGGTTCGCGACTGTCAATTCGGTGCGTGGTTGTGTTCCATCTTTCCAACGACATCTCGCTCGCTCTATACTCTAGAAAGAGAGCATGTGTTTCTTCTGTTGGTTTCCAGCTTTGTTCTCCTCCGTTGAGAGACCTCTTTTACTGCACATCCCTTTCAAAGAGTCGTATACTGACCACTGAGCCTACCTGTCAAGATGAACCGCCAGCACGTGCCAGCCTCGACGGAGTCTTGGGATTCGAATCGAAATTCTTTCGCTACAAACTCTTCACCCGCTCAAGGGTATTATCTGCGGGCTTCTTCCTACTTCTCCCAGGGTACCTCCGAGAGAGATGGTCTCTCAGCAGCTCCGAGAGGAGACGCTGCTTCAACGGGAATGACGGTGTCATCGTCCTCGAAAGAGCTTGTCTCCAAGACAAACTACACTTCAAGCACTGATTACGATCACGATGATGAAAGTCAGGCAGCAAGCCGATCTGTCATAACGCGGCCAAGTACTTCCTACACCAGCCGCACCTCGCAAACACCTTTCCTCCCCCATAGTGAGAAATACACCATCGTGTGCGCGCTAAACGAGGGTCGTGGAATAACACCTGCCGTCGGTGTTGCATTCTTCAATGTCGACACTGGCGAGGCCATTCTCAGCCAAATATCAGATAGCAGGTTCTTCGTCCGAACTCTGCATAAACTTCAAATCACGGAACCGTCACATGTCCTGATCGTCAGTTCATGCTGCCCACCTAATCCGAAATCTAGGCTCTACAGTCATATTGAGGAGCACATGCCAGATGCCAAGATTATTTCTTTCGACCGAAAGCATTGGTCGGAAGTGGGAGGACTCGACTACATCCAGACCCTGGCCTTCCGAGAGGATGCAGAAGCCGTCAAAGTAGCGATTGGCGGCAGCTTTTTCGCGACGTGCTCTTTCTCTGCAGTGAGAAGCTCCCCTTTTGAGGTTTTCGAAAGTTTCTGACCGTAATTGAGGCCATCAAGTTTGTAGAACTCGAGTTCTCTTTGCGCATCATACCCCATTCTCTGCGCATACGATATCAGCCATCTGAGGATACCATGATGATCGACGTGTCCGCCATCATATCCCTTGAAATCCTGCGGAACCTTCGCGATTCGAAATCCAAAGATAGCCTTTTTGGTATTCTCAAGCACACTAGAACACCAATGGGCAGTCGAGTGCTTCGGAGCAATCTTCTCCAACCATCAACTCTCAAAGAGTCATATCTTGTGCCACGCTATGATGCTTTGGAGGAGCTCCTTGATAACCATGGAATGTTCCTTGAAATTCGAGAAGGTTTCATGATATTCATTTCGCTCATACCATTCGATGCTAACTAGTTCAAGCGCTAAAATCCGTCCTCGACATCGAACGTGTATTGACACAGGTGGGGAACACTGAGACCCCCCTTCTCAATCAGCCAGTTAACAACCCCAGCTCGTCATCATACCAAACAAGCCATCAGTGGAAGCATCTGAGAGAGCAATGAACCATATCCTGATGGTGAAAACATTTTTAGACGCCGTTCCTACAATATATCAAGCACTGAGGCCTGCTACAAGCCCCCTCCTGATCAAGATACGAGATCTTTGTCAACCTGAACTTACAGAAACTGTCAGAAACCTTATCTATGAGGGCATCATCGAAGACGTCACATACGTAAAGTCGGCCCTCGACCTCCGGAACCAGAGAACCTTTGCAGTAAAGGCAGGTATGATCCTCTCCTTTCTACGGTGATTGTACTGACCCGCTATCAGTCTGGAGTCAATGGTCTTCTCGATGTCGCTCGACAAGCATACAAAGAAAACACCAACGATGTACACAGTCATGTTGAGGAGCTGAATAGTAAGTGTCACGGCTTAGATTGGAATCGACACTGATCTGCCGTTCCCCTGCTTGTTATTTTTGTCCCGTTCTGATGCCCATCGCTCTGCAGATGAATACAATATTGAAGCCGACCTCCGGTATGACACAGGCCGCAAGTATTGGGTTAGGCTACGGGCGGTTGACTTCGAGAATCACCCAATTCCGCCTGTCCTTGTCAACCAGACTCGAAAGGGACCTTACATTGAATGTCTGACCGTCCGACTCAAGAAGCTCAATCAGAGAATTGCTGATTCCGTCGCTGAAGTTGTTATGTTAAGCGACAAGGTGATTCAAGATCTTATAGACAGTATCCGAACCCAGCTGCAGCCACTTTACCGCGTCTGCGACAGCATCGCTCTACTCGACATGCTCGCATCGTTCGCGCAATCAAGTTCCACTAACGACTGGAGGCGACCCGAGATATCGGACACTCTAGCAATGAAGGCGGCCAGGCACCCAATCCTGGACAAGGTTCGGAACTTCAGTCATCCATCACTTTCGTCCATACAAGACTAACTACAGAGCAGAGCTTGAGAGACCATTTTGTTCCCAATGACTATTACGCCACCGATGAGTATCGCTTCCACGTCGTCACCGGATGCAACATGAGCGGCAAGACCACGTACATTAGGAGCATCGCTTTGCTGCAGATAATGGCGCAAATTGGGTGCTTTGTGCCAGCCGAATATGCCAGCTTTGCTATTGTTCACAACATCTTTGCGCGCGTGACGACGGATGACAAGATTGAGTCCAACATGTCAAGATTTTCTCTGGAAATGCGGGAGATGGCATTCATTCTCAGGTTGATATTGGCCCGTGCAAGATCATGGCTCGATGCTAACAATCGCCAGCAACGTCACCGATAGAAGTATTGTCATTATCGATGAACTTGGTCGAGCCACGAGTACCCGGGATGGACTTGCTATCGCGCTAGCCATGGCAGAGGCACTTATTCAAAGTCATGCAGTCGTTTGGTTTGCAACGCATTTCACAGAGCTTGGTAAGAATTACAAAAGATTGCCGGTGATCTGCCTCGAGCTAACCTCAAGCAGCCGATGTTCTTGCCAACCACCCCGGAGTGCTGAACCTTCACCTCGCTACGCAGATCTCAACGACAGCTGATAACTTGCCCAAGATGACGATGCTTTATAAAGTGGAATCTGGAAAGACCAACGACTCAATGTATGGGATCATGCTTGCGAAAGCCATGCCGTTTCCAAAACGGTTTCTCGAGGTGGCGGAGCAAGTCGCCGTCTCGTTACGACAGCGAAGAGAAAAAAAGAAGATGGGTTCCGAAACAAGAAAGACATTGAACCGACGGAAGCTTATCCTCAATTTGCATGACCACCTGAAGCAGGTCAGTAACTCAGAGTTAGATGAGTCTGCCATGAAGAGCTACCTTATTCGTCTGCGAGAGGAGTTCATATTGCGCATGGACGCGATCGAGAACGAGTTTGCTGAGAACAGAGTGGACAGCAGCGAAGAGATAGCGAATGACAGCGAAATAATTGACGGAAACGAGATGGGACGGACTGGCGAAGACGGCTCGTTCGATAATGAAGACGTCTTCGACGCTGTTGATGTGGATTTTCTTTGAAGCAGTTGAGCTTGTCTTGTCGTCTTGGGCTTGTCGTTGACTTGATAGAGGAGGTTCGGGACTGAAGTATGAGGAAGTGAAGACAGGTAGTTAGTAGTGTAGGGGGAAGTCAAATTGGTTCCCTGTTATTCAGCTGGAGATGCCCACAGAGCCTCTCTCTCATATCCCTCTCAAAAGTTCAACAGCAATGACAGACCTCGTCTGTGGCAAACTTACCCTTTCGGATTATATTTTGACGGGTTACATCTAGTGTTTGTAGTGGAAACAGCAGTCGTGGTTGAATTGATCACATGGGTAGGAAGAGGGCGTACTGCCATAGAAACAGAGAGACGTACTCGAATCCTTTGACGTTGCGAAACTGAGACATTGTCGGCCTTTTTTCTTCCTAGGATTTTAAAGGAAAGTGATGAATAATTACCTGTGTATATGCGCGCCTTCCCTCGAGATGTTGTTGCACCAAGGTGCGCCGGCAGGAAGGGAGCACCCGCCCTTGCTTGCTTTCTTCCTCCGCCCACAATTTCTTGTGCTGTTCTTAACACACTAAAATTACACATCTCAAACCAACCGCTTTTCTTCTTGCACTTCCAGAAGAATGTCACCAATTTAATCCAATTCCATCCACTTTCTTTCATCCTGGACATCGTCGTTCCGCTACACCTCAGGCATAGCCAGGCCAAGAGACCATGGACGAGTCTGACGTCCTCTCGTGAGCGTAATCGACAGTTGAATAGCTGGTCGGCACACTAACCGTCTCATAGACTCTGGGAGACCAAGGGGGAAGCAGACATCCTTCTCACAATGGGCGCCAACAAGTGGCAGCTCCATGAAAACATCATTCGCGGCAAGAGCGGTCTCATCGACCACATTCTCGACCTCAACAGTGTGGCAAGTATCCGGTTCCATTTTTTCTAATGAGCCATTAATAGGAGAGCTAACCACAGAGAGCCACTACAGCAAAAAGGTATCCGAAAGATCGCGTTGAAGGAGCATGCCTTCACAGCCTCGGCTCTCGAAGTCACCCTGAAGTCCTTCTACGTTGGGGGTAAGCTCGTATATGGTTTCTGACACATCGAAACTCTCTGCTGACATCGGAAAGATGGCGTTTTCGACGGAAAAACAGATGTTATAGAGCTTCTTGCGATTTACGATGTATCGGTCACCCTCGCAGTATCAGCACTTCAGCAGCTTATCGCTCCTCGGATCGGCAACCTTCTCCGCGACATACTGACAAGCCGAATCGATCTTATCGACGATTTCATAATCGCGACCGATGTCATCGTGAGTGAGGAAGCTGAAACGTGGGCAATCATGCGTCAAGAGCTTCAAAAAGCCATAGGCCCTCACATCGGTATGCTTTTCTCGCAGCAAGAGTTCACAAACCTTGTGAGGACAAATCAGACCTTTTGCTTTGAGACACTGTTTACCGCAATTGCGCGGATTGATGTTCTGGAGAAAGGCGCTGGAGATTCCAATGATCCGAGCAACTTACCAGACGACGGTGATGCGGTTCGGTCCAGCTCTAGTCCCAGAGCGGTCTCTTGTAAAGGTAGGTATCCGGCAGCGAGACTTGTAACTCCGTGTTGTAACTACTACTAATGAACAGAGCAGATGAGGCGACGCAGACTGATATACCGCGAGACGTTACTCCCAACGGATCTGGTCTCACACTTGTGACGAACGATACTGATGATACTGCTGCGCAACACGACACGACATCTAAATCTGTTAAAGTCAAGGCACTGTCTCAAGGAGACAGCAAAAGTAAGTTTCCCTCCAAGATCCATTCTCAAAATCACTAGGGATTCTCTTTCTATGAGTAATGCACAGCGTCTTTATAATACAAGCATATCTACAGACCACTTGGAAAATTTAGGCTGACTATTTGACTACAGAACCTGAGATACCGCATCAACAAAGGCTGGACTCTGAAGGCAAGCAACGCATCGCCCAAGAGCACTCCACGACCCATGTCACATCCAGCCCACAAGACTCTCCGGGCGCACTCAAGTCATCCCAGGAGCGTGCAACCGTGCCATCTACCAGCGACAGTATGTCCGACTCAGATAAATCGACACACTGGGAATCCTGTAGTGAAGGCGCCACAACATCTGCCTCTCGTACGCAAAAGGTGCGAGCTTCAGGATTATCAACTCCGGTCACTCTACGGACGGGTACCTCAACGCCCCCAACGATTTCCGGACACACTATTGAGCAAAGGCCTGTATCCTCGCGAGCGGTCGAGCGAGCACGAACTCCATATGCGTTGAGTAGATTCAGCATCTCCCAGACGAAGGAGCCTGCTGCTACCAATCTTGAGCGGACCAGCCACGCATATGTTTTCGGCGGCTCCAGCGTTCCGCGCGACTTCCAATTTTCTGGTGCCATCCAGACAGAAGAAACTAAGTCCACGAGCACCGGAACAAAACCCAAGTATGGGCAGAATAATGCTACCCCGCATTATTCTTCACCGAGCAACCAAACTCGCGGCCCTTCGTCTCGCAAATCGGGCGTGAAGAATGCACCTCAACTTGACCCTGTTAATACAGCACGTCAGGTCAAAAAGGGCAGACTTGTTGTTGTTGAGCCAACTAGTGAGTCATCCAAGCTGTTTTGTTTTTGGTGGTCTGTAGCTCCTTTTTTCCACTACTCCGGAAGTTTTTATCATCGTTTTTTGCGGCATACTGACGCGTAGATAACAGACGGTCAACTCTCTTCATCGGATAGAGTCCTCCTTGGCGGGCCTCGTATCGAATGCAATCCTTCTTGAAACCATCCAAATTGTACATGAGACTACTCAGCCATACGGCGACATGGAAGCGAGAGTTTCTGTTGACATAGGTCTTGTAGTACAGCACGGCACCCCTGTGTGCAGTTGCCTCGTCAAAGTGCAATACACATGAGAAACAGCATGTCTTGTGATGCCACTTCACAATGACTGAGAGTCAACCCTCTAGATCTGGATTTGTATGGGCAGGATTAGCTGATTCTCTTCTTCGGCGGTATGATGGGCTTACATGGTGACTAAGACATTACGAGGTGGAAATCATTCAGATACGGCCAAGGGTTGTTCATAATGAACCGAGCAGTGCTAGAAAGACAGATACATGTAGGCCAAATTCAGACGAGAGGGCCCAGTATCCGAGGATCCCTGTAATAGACCGATGTTCTTCCAATGAGATTAGCTCTTCAGTGACTATAGCTGTGCCCTCTTTGTAAGGTTTCCTTGCTCGTCAAACCATACACTGATGTCCTTGATCATAGGGTCCTGAAGTGCAGCACCAATCTTGATGGCCGAAACCGCAGACGCCAACTGTACCTGCACCGACTTATCGGGCATCTATCGTGAAAGTAACCTTAACCTGGCTGAACATGTCTGCGGCAGCTCTTGGGGAATACCCCCCGTCTCGTAGATTATTGCATGATTCTCCCATGGCAGGACATTCACCAATAACTTGCCATCGTCTCGATAATCTCGGTAGAATCCTCCTGGCCCGAAGCCATCATACGTGACGTATACTGATGTGCGATCCGACTATCGTGGGACTCGACCATATCAATGGCATTATCGCGGTTGTTAAATCTGAGACTGGCGGTGGCATGGTACGTGGTTCTTAGCTTTTGCTCCCAAAAGGTGCAGAAGAGGCAAGTTTTTTTTTTTTTAATATTTTTTTTTAAATTTTTTTTAAGATGAAGATTGAGATAGACTCTGGATTGATCAATGGCCCAACGGCGCAAGTTGCCCCGACATTCACATCCGAAGGCCGGGCAGCCCGGCCAAGGCCCGTGGAACTCGTACACGGCGCATCTTTACCCAAACAACTAGGAGCCTAAGAGAACCTATTGAATTTGGAGTAGCTGCTAGCCCATTACATAGCAGTTGACTCTCTCTGGTTGTTCCGCATTACCCAGTTTTGGCCTGGTCATCTCGTCCGGGGCATGGGGCACAGAGTCTGGGCAATGTAGTTGGCAGTCGTTTAATTCTTTAGCCGCTTTGCGCCGCCGTCGCGATTCAAACCGGGCATGAGTGTGGGGGGGGGGCTCTAGATGATTACGTGCCCGGGAACGATGGAACGACTGACGAAAAAAAGACATGTCAGATAGCCGTGACTTACTCAGTGGAATGCTGCTTGGACCAGGCTATGAGGGCTGGACCACAATTTTTGCCTGCCGCCCTGCATGTTCTTTGAAAGTCTTACATCATGATTGGAGCTGCACATATGTTGACTTGGGCCATGTCAGGGATGCGAGATCCACACATCCCATAAAGTGCCCACATCGCTAACCCAGAACAAGTCGGTGAACCATTCCCACAACTCAAGATAACACCATACAAGACCTGGGGACGATTCAAGACACAACACGGGGAAGTGGGCAAAACTGGGGAACAAAGACAGGGCCAAGTTACCACATATGCCGTCGACATGACCGACTTTCTACCTCTTCGAGCCTCACTGTCAGCTTGCTTTTCTTTCATCCCTTCATCCGTTCTGCGTAGAATTTACTTAGGTATAGCCATGTCAGCTTCAGTAGGACTGTGTATTTCCTAGTTAGTGATAACAGGGCATGGGGGCATCGGGACGAGTTCCTCTGGGCCGTGAATGGGGCAGAAAGACTAAAGTTTCAGGCTTCCCCCCACAAGTTCTATCGAGGCTCCCCTGGACCGAATGACCTCATCAGCAAGAAAGCTTGTGTTTCGGGCTCCTCGAGCTATGACGGTAGGTGTTCATGCACGTTGAAGCCCCTCTGACCCGCCACCACGTCCTGTCAAACCCACCAATGCCTACGAAGACAAGGAGCCTCAACGACGCTAGACGCGCTTAATTAGCTGCGAGAGAGACGACTCCGTAGGAGCCCCATTTATCCCCATGGGCAAGACATTGCGAGAATCTCACAACGACCACGTCCTCCCTCGCGCATGGAACGACTCCTCATGCGCCCCATAGACCCAGAGACGAGTGAAAGACCCGATCCAGCCTATTGCAGAGTGTATATCTTTCGAAGCACTCAGGTGGTCCCACCCGGGTGCCGTCATCGGGCTCGAACTTCAACTGCTAGGCTCACCAAGCGGGGTGTGCATAACCATGGCTCAATCTGCTTTTACAACATATCAAATCAGTATAAATTTACCATATCACGTGGTGGTGGTCAAAGGGGTGCCCCTGGTTTCCCCATTCTGTCCCAATATCCCGCCGGAATTCAACCCGCATTGCCGTGGACCCCACGTGTTGATGGGTATAGTCGGAGCGGCCTGACCATAAGACGACCCCCACGGCGGCAAAGTTCCTATAAAGACATCGTTGCATGCCGTGCTTGAATCTAGTTGACTATTCCTACGACTCAGGCGGGTTCGATCAAATCTTGTTTCTCTCTCCACAGTGATACCCCCAAATTATTTCTCCGGTTCATCGGACTGGATGGGTCTTGGAAATTTTACAAAGAAGACATCCGTTGGCGCCCGCTATCGTGTAAATCATCCCATGTGAGTTCATCCCAAGCTACTCTCTCTGCGTCTTCAGCTTAGTCACGTAGTTGTTTCACATCAATACGTATCTATCTCGATCCCAGAGCTTTGTGTTTGTAGCCCCTCAAGCTAACTGCAACAGAAACTTGACAAGATGGGCCACCGATCACCAGCTTCCTCCATGACGGAGAAAGCCTCGTCAAACTACCCTGGCGCCTCAACGGAGCAACAAGAGACGGTTCTATCCAATGCCTCCCTAGAGCCCTATGGACCTTCAGGTAGGATTACAATCGTCATTGCCCACGCTGATGCTACATACTGACACTAATGGCAGGTTTTCGCGGAATCTTCGTCTCTCATTATGTCGCGATGTGTGCAGCCTTCTCCGCCATCGGCGGCCTCCTTTTCGGCTACGACCAAGGCGTCATCTCTGTCACCTTAGTCATGGATCAATTTCTCGAACGGTTCCCGGAAGTCTCAGATAACGCTGCTGGGTCCGGCTTCAAAAAGGGCCTCATGACGGCGATGATCACATTGGGTGCCTTTGTCGGTGCCATGAACCAGGGGTGGATCGCCGACATGATTTCTCGGAAGCGATCCATCATGGTTGCCGTTGTTGTTTTCACCATCGGCTCGTCGATCCAGACTTCGGCTGTCAACTACAACATGCTAGTGGGCGGTCGCTTTATCGGAGGCCTGGGTATCGGCATGTAAGTTCTTCACCTGGTACGCGCCCGGCCCTCTCGGATGCTAACATTCCTAGGCTTTCCATGGTCGTCCCCTTATACATCTCTGAAATATCACCTCCGGAAATCCGCGGATCTCTTCTCGTATTCGAACAGCTGTCCATTGTCTTCGGGATAGTCATTTCCTTCTGGATTACTTTCGGTACAAAGGACATCCCTAACCACTGGGCGTGGCAGCTGCCATTCCTCATCCAGATCATCCCTGGTCTTCTCCTCGGTTTTGGCGCCGTGTTCCTACCTTACTCTCCCAGGTGGTTGGCGTCCAAGGGGCGTGAAACTGAGGCCCTGAACAGCCTGTGTAAGCTTCGCGTCCTCCCGGACACCGACCCGCGCGTCCGACGTGAATGGATGGACATCATTGCCGAAGCCCGGTTCCAGACCGCAGTTCTAGCTGATCGTCACCCCACTCTGGTCAGCAAAGGAGACGTAGCAAGTATCTTGAAGCTCGAAGCAGTGTCTTGGACCGACTGCTTTAGAAAGGGATGCTTTAAGCGCACGCAAGTTGGAATCTTTCTAATGTTTTTCCAACAATTCGTTGGAATCAATGCGTTGATATACTATTCTCCCACCTTGTTTGAGACCATGGGCCTCGATCACAACATGCAACTAATCATGTCTGGTGTTCTGAACTGTGTTCAGCTGGTGGGTGTCATCCCTAGCTTGTGGACCATGGATCGTTTCGGACGCCGATGGATTCTGCTCGTGGGGAGCCTGGGAATGACGATCTCTCATACTGTCATCGCCATACTCGTCGGTCTCTATTCGAATGACTGGCCAAGCCACACTACCCAGGGCTGGGTCAGTGTTGCCTTCTTGCTGCTGTACATGCTCGTTTTTGGAGCTACATGGGGTCCGGTTCCTTGGGCTATGCCGTCTGAGGTCTTCCCTTCCTCCCTGAGAGCCAAGGGCGTTTCTATTTCCACATGCTCTAGTAGGTAGACTCGACCCAAATACTTTGAGGTGCATCGTGCGCTGACTTGAGACAGATTGGATCAACAACTTCGTCATCGGTCTCATAACTCCTCCAATGGTCCAAGGGACAGGGTTTGGGGCTTACGTGTTTTTCGCCGCTTTTTGTTTGCTTTCCGGAATCTGGACCTGGTTCTGCGTACCCGAGACCAACGGAAAAACCCTCGAGCAGATGGACGAGGTGTTTGGTGACCGCACCGGACTTGACGACGTTGCAAAGAAGGAACAGATCTTCCGCGAGGTCGTGGATGAGCAGACTCGCTCTACAGTAACATTGCCAGCGTAGACGGGCTGAGGTGATTTTGAGGTAAATTTGTAAATTCAGCTCAAGTAGCCTATACATAATTTGGAGAATTGACAAATTTTGACATGCCCCTGCAGAAAGTTGAACTCGTGTATAGTTGAGTACTGAGCCAACGTGTTACTATGAGCTCTGGGTTGTGGTTCCTATGGCCCCCTACCTAATGTTCTAGAATTGTTGACTACGTGTGGATCGAAAAAGTACATCTATCTTGCCAACAAGATGCAACATGCAAGATTCACAGAATCATTCTTCAAGAGATAGACGTAGCAAGTTAGATTGATGTCTCGTGTAGACCTATGATAATCTTACATATGGCGATCTGCGTAATTGGCAACCGCCTCTAATCCATGAATCATCCTACTTGACTCGTTAAACCCGTTTCCAAAACTAGAAAACATGAATTTTTTGCTAGCTCCAAGAACCGCGTCGTATGGGTCATTTGAGAACCCGAGCCCGCAGAACGAATCACTGACGAACCCTCCCTCCTCAGAACGGGCCGAGATTAACATCCCGAAAAGCTGTGCTAGTCCATCTGATATACGGCCCCGGAGAAGTGGCCAACTTGTCATGATAAGGGTGCTAATACATACGTCGCTCGTAGGTCACGTTCGTTGCAACGTGTTGATCACAGCGTACCCCTGTCTGGTTCATGTGCTTCTTTCCCCGTGGGGTTTGTAACGGTTGACGCTAGAAGAATATAGCTAGATCTCATCCTTGCCGCTCGGTTCGGGGCATTAGTAAGTACTTGCGGAAAATCGGCTTCGGAATACTACCTAGTTGAGCCAGGGCTATACAAGCCCAGGAACGCGCCGTTGGGCCGGTTGAAAGGCTTGGGTTGGCGGCTACACATTCCTGTCCCGGGTAGCCGAATGGGGCAACCCGGAGACGGCGCGCATATTCTTTTTGATGTCAGCCGACCTTTCGTAAGACTGTTGGACCAACTTGCATTACAAAGGCGACCCCAAGGGGATCTAACCTTACCCCAAGGGGAAGACATTGGTATTCCTGGGGAATGTGCGGGGTACATTTCATGGAGGAACCATGCCATGGGATGGTGTGAGGCTCCTTTTCGAAGGGGCATAGTGTTATGAACAGTGTGTTCATTCATCCATGGTCTACTTGTTAAGACTTCAACCTCCCCTGCCCGCTAAACTACGCACTGTCTACCGTAGCAAGTAGAGCCTGATAAATCCATGTCTATTACCGGCTGCACTGTTGCAAACGCATACATAACAGCTCTGGTAGCCCTAGTCGATACGGAGGTTTAGCTAAGAGATTCCATGGCACTAATTTTCTATCTAGAAACATCTGTTGAGTATATAGCATAATGATTGTACTGTGTTTATCCGACTGTGTTTAGAGTACTGTTGCGTACCTGTTCGACCTTAAGAGGGACCGCTTGGATAATGTACGCTACTTAGTAGGAGGCTTACGCGCCCGGATGGACGCCAAAGGTTCATCGGTTGGGACTTGGTAAATTCACGGAGAGAAAAGGTCTAAAACCCAATATTGCCTCCTTAGCTGCTCTGAATCAGGGAAATCCAAGCGCCTGTTCGAGGTCAGAATCTCCTGGCAATCAAGGTACACTCCCTACCCGCTGGTTCATCGATTGACTAGCCATAAATTCACAGGGAATTGGAGATAATCATGCATTCAACTAATTGTTGTGGTATCTAATGTTCGAAATCTAGACGATCTAGTGGTATCTCTTAACAGGATTAGAGGCCTTCAGGCCTCACAAGAGAAAAGAAATTAATGGCACTGGAAGTCATTCCGTGCCCATTTGAGAAAGCCGGAACCTATGCGGCGAGGACATAATTCGTAGCGCAATGAGTCGCTTTGAAACCCAATGCGGCCTGTCAATCTCCCAACCAGGGGGCGAACCACTCGAATACCACCTGAGGATTCAACCTTTCAGGACTTCTCGACGTTCTGTGTCTCCTCGTCCTGGCGGGCCCACAGGCCGTTGTTCTCACTGCTGCTGGTGCTGTTCTCGCGGCGGTTCTCGCGGGTAGTGGCGTGACCAGTCTCCTTATCGTCGTATTGGATGAGAAGCTCGCCGTTCTTGCCGTAGCGGTGGGGCTCCTTGCGGGCGACGTTGACGACGTCGAAGGCGCCCTTGAAACCGGAAGAGGCCTTGGAGAAGATAGAGTCCATCTCCTCCAGAGAGCGGTAGGCGGTCTCAGGGAAGAAGAAGTAGGTGACGGGGACGATGATGGCGTTGATGATAGCGAAGATGGTATAGGTGTGATGCTTGATGGAGTCGAAGGCGACGGGAGTGATCATGACAACCTAGTCTTCGTTAGCATTGAATGATTGAGGGTCCGATATTGAAGCCACTTACCATGAAGTTGAAGATCCAGTTGGCAGATGTAGAAAGCGCGTTGGCGGGGGCGCGGATACGTAGGGGGACGATCTCGGCGGGGTAGAGCCAAGTCATGCCAAGCCATCCGACAGCGAAGAAAGTGTTGAAGACGAAGAGGAACACAATGCCAGTAATCTGGCAGGCATAAGTCTTCTGGGAGTTGACACCGGCGAGGATGGCCATGGTGATGGCCTGACCGATAGCGCCGAAAAGCATAAGCTTGCGGCGGCCGACGCGCTCAACCAGAAAGACGGCGGGCCAAGAAGCAATGAAGTACTCGGTGCCGTTAAGAGCAGCCAGCAAGTGGGCCATGAAGCGAGACATTCCCAGGCCAGAGTAGATGACGGCGGCGTAGTAGGTGATGAGGTTGATACCGCAGATCTGCTGGAACATCTGGTTGACGTAAGCGATGCAGGTGCGGTGGAAGTTGCGGTTCTTGTCCATGGTGAAGAGATCCTTGAAAGTGCCCTTGGACATCTCCTCGACGGTCTTCTTCATGACAACGTATTCGTTCTTGCAGTATTCGTCATCTTCGGGGAGGTTGGCGATGGCAGCAATGACCTCCTTAGCCTCCTGGTCACGGCCCTTGAGAATGAGCCAGCGAGGAGACTCGGGCAGGTTCCAGACAAAGGCCAAAATGAAGACACAGAAGAGGATCTGCAGGGCCAGAGGGAAACGCCAGGAGACAGATCCGGGGGCGAAAGACATGCCGAGATCAATCCAGTAGGAAATCATGATGCCACCGCTGATGAGGGCACCCTCAATCATGACAAGCTTGCCGCGCTTGTGTGAGCTGCACGTCTCTGACTGCCAGGTAGGTACCGTTGATGTGTTGCCGCCGTTTCCGAGGCCAGTGATAATACGTCCGATGATGAGGTGCTCAATGGAGAAAGCGGAAGCCTGGAGAACAGCACCGATAACCATGATGGCGGTACCGAGGATGATCATGCGCTTACGACCGAGAGGGTTTCCGATGAAGATGGTGATAATGGCGCCGAGAAAGCAGCCCAAGTTGTAGGAGGCGACGGCGATACCTTGGTTGGTAGAGCGCTGGCTCTTGGTAAGCCCTCCGAGAAGGCCTTCGGGCTCTGAGTCGATGGTAGGGAACTGAGATTGGAAGGCGGGGAGGGTGAGGATACCACCGGTGACACCCTGGTCTGGAGAGAAAGGTGAGTCAACCAAGCTGTCGCCTCGGGATCAAGTCCGTGCTGGGTTGGGTGTATTGAGACTTACCATATCCGAAAAGCAAGAAGTCACATCCTGCGATGATACTGATGGCCCAGTTAAGGCTCTTGCCTCGAAGGCCGAAGTAATTAAGCTTGCCCATCTCGGAGACTCTTTCACAGCGGGTAGTATCTGATTATTGTGTTCCAGAAAATACCGAGGCTGTAGGTCGCAAACCGGTCGAAGAGGCAAGTTGAGACAGTCGAAGTGGATGGGGAAACAACAGGAAGATCAGATGCGAATTGAGACGGCGAGCGTCGACCTTATACATAAAATCCCCAACACACAGCGCCGGGTGAAGATCGGCAACGTCAGTGCCATAAGCTGAACTCTTTCTCCTCACCCTGTACAATCTCCTCAGTCGTACCGTTGGATTACATGCTTGGCCTAGTAGTGTACACTGGCATGGTAACACGGCTAGGTACTTGTGCCAGCCTCAGACCCTGGCGTTTGGGGTAGAAACCCAACCCAGAAAACCCTATAGCCAATCACCAAAAGGGTGCCCCGATTTCCCCCAATCTCTGTACCATCCAAGATCCCTATGGAGGAGGAGGGTCAAGGCTATCCACCCGGATCCACGGGCATGGGCGACGAGAGACGGTGACATGTCGTCAGCCTGGCCAAGACGCCGTCATGGGAGGGGTGAGGTCCCCCCCCCCCCAAGCCAATACGGCGCCCAGCAAGAGTTTTGCGGGGTTCGTCATGGTCGAACACTGGAATACGGCAGCCTCACCGCTCTAGACTAGGACACGGGCTCGTGGAGACGCCGTCCTTCGAGCGGCAGAATCCGGAGAGTCACCGACGCGAAAGACGGCAGCTGAGGTGAGATAAGGCAGCATTGGTATGCCAAAGAGGAGAAGAGGGCTCAAAGAGGTGCCGCAATTGTGTCCATCTGCACATTATCGGTGGGGTTCTGATGGAGACATGTTGGAGACCTCGACGTCATCCTTGAGGATTTTGATACCAATCGATAAGTCGTGCAGCATTAAAGTGCGAAAAATGGCGAAAAAGGCACCTTACAGTCGCCGTTTGTGCATACCGATACCGTTGGTCGTTATCCATACACACACCTGGTTGGTTTATCCCCGTCTGGGCGGCGCCCTCTGCGAGTCAGGGGGCCCTGCGCGAACCCTGCAGCCAACTTTGAGCCGAAGCTGCTGGCATCGTAGCCGCCGAGAGCGCTTGGAGCTACCGACTACTGACACTGTCTCTCGCCCGACCGTTTTGGTCACCTTTTCTAGCTCTTTTCACAGTTTATGCTGGGTCCGCAACGTGGGGACAACGGTGATAGAACCAGGTTTCATGTTGAGAATGCTTGCCTGCGATTTGTCAACATCGGTCGTTGTTGGTGACATAGTCTTGCCGGCGGTGGGCCACATGACGTATAGTTCTTGCATGGTAATTTACCGACTCCGGAAAAGGCTCAGCTTGTTGAAAGAATATTATGTGCTACATCTTACATGCAGAAGATGCAACTTTCGTTCCTGTTTCGAGTTTACCGCGTCGACTGGCGACTCGACGTTGACCGAAAGACATGTCATTTGCAGTCGATATTAAAGCTTAACCGTGTGCTAAGACAACGTCCAAGAACGACAAGATGCGCCCAGATAAATACACTAGAGCTTACGCTTCGCCAAATCTCTTGCCGATTGCTTGTTTGCTGCCTAGCCCTTGGTATTGCAAATCCTCTCTTCTTGTCTTCCTCTTGTCTTCCTCTTGTCTTTCAACTGACGAGCCAACATTCGCTACGGTTAACTGTGGAGTGTGGCATACTACTGGAGCCAATGTGGGATGCCAAGTACGATCTATATCCTCGTGCTCCAAGCGTGTCCGGGATGACGTCGCTACACGTTTTGTCTCTGCTCGGTTTTACTCTATTAGGAAATCCGAAGGCGCGCGCCGGGCGTTAACAGGCGGGCCAAGACAGCGGACGGACCAGAGTTACCAATGTGCCCAATGAGAGGGATTGCAAAACCCCGACCGCTGGTCTCGGGCACGGAAGAACTGACGGCCCATGGGTTCTTGTGCCCGTTTTTCACCCGCATAGCCGCAAGAACCGGAGAAGTACTCCGTACCAGGCAACCCTCTCGTCAACTCTCACCGACCCTGAACGAACTGACTCGGGGCCCGCAGCAATCTGTTGGTCGATGCTGCGGGAGATGGTAATGAAGCCGATGTTGGACCTTCTTGACGTACAGAAGCCCGGCCCAATGAGTGTGCAATCCGTAAGGTGACGTACAGGTTGGCATCGTCCAAAATTCCAACATCTGCTTGTATATATCTCACAATTGACCTTCATAGCCACGGGAACCATTCCCGAGATTGTATCTCAGCGACTTGCTCATCCAGCAAGTCTCCATTGTCGAGCTCCTTGATGAAAACATGGTTTCTCCATCTCCATTTCTTTTTGACCTCTCTCTCAAGGCCACTAATTTCATTTTATGGATAAACACGCAACGGTCATGACTGGCATACACTAGTCAGGAGATCTTCATACAACGCATCTATTCTGGGCCAAAAGCCGTTTACCAAAGAGGGCAGGACCCTGACTCTGCATGTCCTCGACAGTTTGTCTAATCCATATTACCACGCTGCCCCCACAGCCCAGGTGAGAGATGCCTGACGCGGATGGGAAGACCGGGCCATCTTTTATCTGTTCGCCAATGAGAAGACGTGATGCCTCGGCCGAAGCAGTCTAGGGGGTACGACGAAGTGGGCATCAACATTGGAGATGCAGCTTCACATGTCGGGTAAACTCGTGCATATCATGAGAGGGAAATTACGGCTCATAACATAAACTCCACCACATGAAGGATTGGAAATGTTCTAAGACGGCCACTTGTAAGTTCCGAGCTGATGGTCAGATCGGCCCTGTCATCGAGCAATGCTCGACTAAATCGAAAGAAAGTTTCCTGTGTTCTTGGAAAAAACACGGGGGGCGGGAGTGCCAAGCCCAGAGTGTGGCCGATTCGCCGGTCCCGGAAAATTCTGCATCCTCGGTCCCGCACCGAGGAACCAAGTTTTTTTTTCGACTGGCGGTGGATCCGGACCCTAGTCGCAGAGAGCTAAGAGCCTGTGAGGGTATCAGAGAAAGCACACTGGTCTCAGATTGTGATTGAGGCAGCCCGGGCTGGCGGCAAGCCCACATCCTGCGTGAGAAGTTGAGCCAATCTATCTGTAAGGCTATGTGGTCCGGGCCCAGAACAATGGATCTCGCCTTCAGTTCAGGGCCACTTATGATGCCTATATGAAGAACCACACACGATGGGGTGGCGAGCTGCCTAAATCGACCTCAGCGCTGCGCGGCAGTTATACGGCGACTATCTTTATTCGGTCCTTTAGATATCAAGCCGGCCTGTAATGTTGATCTAGATATAGTGTATTCCACGATAGGGGTCCTGAGGGTCTGACAAACACTAGCCGCAATTGCCACACGTGCGGTAGACGATCAGGGGTCTTGGGATGCGGTGAACAACCTTGGATTTGCTCGTGAAAATGACGTCTTTGTTTGGTCCCCACAGCGCCGGCTTGCTCCTAGTCTGGTCGACCCTCATTCCATGGGATGAATCTGGCTCCGGTCATGTAACAGCGGCGCCGGAAACTGTCCGAGGGTGTCGAGAGTTTTGTGCTCCGACCCTTTCGTCATCAATGACGGGGATTCTCAACAACGAAAAGCACACTTGCTGCATATATTGTTGGGGATTGAGTCACAGTAACAGCTTTATACGGTCTGAGTGCCGTCGAGCAGCCTGTGTCACTAAACAGCATACGTGACAAAACCTAGCCAAAGCACAGCTAGCTTGTTACCAGCACTGACAAGCTGCAAATAGCCTTGATCTACGTGGTCATCAACTACCCCCTGTATAAAACACATTCGCCGGTCGAGCTTCCTCGCTTGCACAAGACTTTACGGGCCATGACTCCGTTAAATAAGGTCTTTGTGGGCCTTTCGCCCCGACGTGCCCGGTGGCATACATATCATACTCCGGAGAAGGTGGGTCCGAACTCGTCTACGAAGCGGCGGGGCCGCCGGACAACGTCACCACAGCATCAGCTGGCACAAAATTCTACTGAAGAGATCGAGATAGTCAGAACAATCGCCTTTGAAACATGCCTGTGAGCTCCAGTCAAGCGTGGCTAGCATCGCTCCCATATCATTATGTTCCCTCATCCATCTGTCACGTAACAAAACGATTCCGTTGGTTACGTGGGCAGTGACCAACACTTATATATCTCGTGACACCATCATTGTACTGGCCACAGAGAACCGTCAACTGCATCATGAGCGCGGCCATATCTAACAAAGTCACAAATAAACATGCAAGAGAAAACAAAGAGAGGAAGCTGCAATTTGACCAATGAAGGTCCTGCGGAGGACTTCGGAAACTTAAACCCAAGGTCAACGCTAAGGTCGATCGATCTACATGCATAATTGCACACACAGGCAACATTGAGGGCCAGCGCAATAATTTTCATGCAGCGGGATCTTACTACTTGTTACTTGTATATGCAGCTGATATATACGATGAGGCAGCAATAAGCCAATCAATGCCTATTGGTGTTAGGGAGGGGTTGCCGATGTAGAAAGTACAGCTGGTACCAGTGACAACATGTTCCCGTACCCTTGGACACAGCCGGTCTGGGCTGCCTGAGAATCCGCATGTTCCTTAGACTGAAACCTGTTGATCACTAAGATTGGAAGAGCGAGAGGGCGACGTAGGTCGAGGAAGAGGTAGCATTTAATTCCACGAATGAGATACTATCACTGGACTCGATCTGTGAAGTTCAATCTGCCTAGGTTCTACTTTTCTGGTTTAAAAAGTTTGTGGAATATGATATACAAAGACACATGAGGGTGTTCATTGTGTTAGCGTATGTGTCTTAAGTAGCGGGTTTCTGTGGAACGAATCTACAAGTACTACCCACAAATATCAGGCCTGAAATATTGATAAAGTAGGCAAGGAGCATGGGGTTCAAATGCAGAAAAATCTTTTATGATGTAAATTTCGCTCAGGGGGCAGTATCACCCGATCTGATAGCGATTTGGGGCTTCTTTCAGCTTCAAGAACCAGAATATCGAGTTCCATACATATATTCAGACAGGCAACACTCTGCAGTATAATATGTGTATACAAACCTGGTGGATGTTAAAGTAAAACGTCGCACAAGTTTTCTGTCAGTCTAAAAGTTTCATATGGTGTTCTTGGCATGAGCAGAATTTGAAAATCGAATCTGACGACAGTTTAACTAATGATGGATTTCACAATTGGCAAAAAGATTGATCATGTATAATTGAAACTTCCATCTGTGTATTACCAGGACAGATAAGATTATGAGAATGAAGCCCGCTGAATTGACTCATCCATCTCAGATGTTGCCACAGTAATTAAGGATGGAAGAAGGGGCCAAAAGCGATATTCTCAAGCTTATCAAATCGTTCGAGGTACTTACCACTCATGATCATATCCTCAGAAACGCGATTGACGTGCCTACATATACTTGGAATGTTGTCGGATATCGGATAGATCTTCGGCAAGTAGTGTGCTTAGTCTATAGCTAGACTGTAATAAGTAGCTCTAAGATGCTACAGTTTATATCCCAAAAAAACTGAAATAATATTTAAAGAGTTTGCCATGCCAGCTCATTGAACAGCACGATCTCTACCAACACAAGCCGATAACTAATCTTCCCATCCGCATCCATTTCCAAGTCAGAATGCCACATGATTACTATATCCGTTACGTGACAGAAAAGCACTGACAATAAAGCCCCAAGGTTTCCCCGGTTATCTTTGATACGAATGTATTGCCCGTTACTACGTATTACAGCTCATATACTCAAGATCAGAGCTAAAAGGACAAAGGTCCCACCAAGTTTCAGTTTTATGTATACGTTCTCATGTATAACGATGTCAGAAATTGACCTGATGATTTCAGTACAATGCAAATTATGATAGTTGGCATGGATTGAACTAGGTAAAAGTTGCTTTTATATAAATGTTTCTTCAGCGAAAAATAGAGCGTCTGTTAGCCATGCCCATCAGGCTACTAAGTAGCCTTTTCAACAGGCCACCAACCATTCAGTCAAGTCGCTTGATAATCACCATGTTTTGGTGTGGAGTTTGTGGGGTCATAGTTCCCATATCACGTGCTTGAGGTTTCGACCAAACCCCTGAATAGAATCGATATACCGGCACGGAAATTAGGGCCGTATTCCGATTCAGTCAGCTTGGACACAGGGTACGGGATAACCGGGCCTTCAACGCAGCACAGATCGAAAAACCAGCTTTATCATCGATCCGTTGGCTTAGTCCTCAGCTACTAAGCTGGTAAATCGGGGTTGAGACCACTAAGTTCAGACGACCCGGCGATGAAGACGGCCAAAGCCCCTATTTAGCCTGTCCTTTCCTCGAGGCAGAATATGGACATCGCGCACGAAGCGATGTGCCCAAAAAGGCCCCCCCCCAGAAAACTGCACTGAGCAAGTTTTACATATTCCTTGAGACGATGATGGAGAGTGCGGCGCTGTAAGTGGATATTCATCTACCAAAAACCGTACGTGATCGGTATCATCTTCCAAAACGCTACCAAGAAGCCCGGCAATCATGGAACTGGCTGGGAATTCCTGGGTAGCTTATAGCGTACCTGCCTCAGGTTCATGGGCCTTCTAGGGATTATCCCTGCGGTTCTCTACAACAAGCTTATTTTTCCATCGAGGATCAACATTTTTTCCGCCAACGTGTCTCGGATAGTGATACGTTAGACCTGAGATGAGTTTTGGATGACAGCTGACAGGAGGCCCTTTGCTTCTGTCAAGTCGGCAAGCGGAAACAACTGGTTTTGTCATTGAACCGTCAGTGCTCGCAACAAGTGTCAGGAGAACGTCAAGCGACCAGGCTGGCGTTAGAACGCAGTAGATGAAACTATGACGCTGCTCTTTAGCCGTTGGTGCTCGAACTTCAACGTTCAAGCATTAACGCTTCCAGTTGATTGCCAAGCCTTATCCCGTGAATTTGGGTCGTGATCTACGGCCTAAATAACCTTTCGAGACGATCCACGGTGTGCCCGTTGCTTGGCTGTCGGACCGGTTCCCTACAGGGAGACTCACGTCATCATGACTGAGTCTAGCACGTGTTTTTCTGTGAGCAGCGACGGTCTGGGTAGCCACGAACGGAAAATTTCAAGAACTGGGGAGATCTTCATTATCAATGTTGCTCATGTTCGCGACAGGACTTGTACAGAGTCTGCAATTAATTGCAGATAGATGGCGCGCTAGCCTGAAAGGGTTGTGTTTGCGAAGGACAACAACAACATGTTTCTGGAAGACGACTATATGAATCACACCCATCATACCTGCTGTACGGTTTGGCTTCTTTGATACTCGGCTTCTTCTATAAAATACTCATTTGCACAGGAAGCATTCGCTTTACAACGAAGAAAAGTCGTGCACAAATCTTTGTCTGCAACACGTCCAATGGGTCTGAATCTCAAGTATGTAATTCGCTATGTTGTCATCACCAAAGGGTCCAGACCATCACAACAGAAAAGATCTAGAAGGCATTGCCTAACCGGTCGTCTCAGCTTGATTCATCCCAAGTTGATGGGTTGCTGCTTATCCACTAGTCACAAGACGTCATTTGTCACAGATAGCACAAGCGTCTGTGCTGACCCCTATGTCGGCAACGTGGGCATGGTGGGAGCCATGTTCGGAGTCAGCGGCGTAGGTAGAGCCTCCTTGAGGCTATGTCTTCTGCCCTCCTTCGAAATAATGGCTGGGTAGTCCCTGATCCTAGCGAACATGTTTGTTTTCCAAGCACATCCCCGCCGGGCTGTGGTGTAAAGGCAGTTTCAACGAGCGATTGTCAGGGGAAAGAAAAGACTCATCTGAAGTTTTCAACATGTAACCAGTATCACAGCGAGGGGCTGAGTATCATTCTGCAGGAATCATCGCATAGATAACACATGCCTTGATAAAACAGTAGGCCCACCCGGAAAAGTCAGAGCCGGAACAGACCCCATGGACACCATGGCTTTTATTCAGGCTGATTATAATCAGCCTAGAATTGGCGTTTAGACCGGCTTGACATCCGGACATCAGCTGCACTTCTAAATATCGTCATGCCGGCCCTTCTTCGAGTTGGATCAAGCAGACAATTGTCAACATCATAGTGAACATCATCGATTTCGAATATTGCGAAAATGTCGGGTACGAAGAAATCAGAAAGCCCACCCCAACATAGTCCAGCTCCAAAGTCGTCTGCAAGAGGGGTCATGAATTGCAAGCCATGCCAGGTTCGCAAAGTAAGTGATCTCCGCACCCGGAATTAAGCATGTTTTCTGATCGACGCTTTGCCTATGCGTAGATCAAATGCGACAGAGCGTTACCCGCATGTGGGGTATGCCAACTTTACCAGAGATCATGCTTCTATGGTATGCCGCCTTTGCTCCCCCACCCTTTCAGCTGGCTACTGAATTGTAAGAAGCTAACTAACTGGGGATCCAGAGGGCGTTCCGAAGAAGCGCGGACCGAAGAAAGAATCGATCAGTGCTTTGATAAAACGAATTGATGGACTCGAGGAACTTCTCAAGTCAGAGAAAACACCCACTCCACCTGGATCTGACGTAGTCGCCACTGAACTAAACGGAAATCATGCCCATAGCAATGGGAGTTGCGAAACCTGCGGGTCTGCATCGTCAGACTTGTCGCCTTTCAGCGCATTCCACGAAGGAGGCTTTGCAGCGAATTCGTACGTGCTACATAACAGGTGCTCCGTTTAGCGCGTGCTCTTCTCGCTAACGTAGTATTAGGGACTTCCCCTCGGTCATTAACGCAGAGGGTTTGATTGACATTTACTTCAAATACTTCCATCGAAACCCATATGAGATCTTGGACGAAGAGATCACCAGGCACAAGTTGAGAAACAACCAGCTTCCCAAGTCAGTACTGTACGCTGTCTGTGCTCTAGCCACACGGTATGTTCTCTATAAGTGGTCTAGAACCAACGCGAAATTAACAGCATATTAGGTATTCAGAGCAGCCGGGCAAGGGACCAAGCAGCCATGTTTCTGCGGAGACCTATGTCTCTTGGGCTCAGAAAGAAATTGAAGTTGCAGGCAATTCGGTCGAAATCTGCCAAGCGCTTCTTTTGTTAGTGACAGCCTTCGTGGCAATGGGTGATGGAAAGAAGGCGTACAGCACTCTGTGTAAGTCCGATGACTACCAGAAACGACTGATCATACTTGAGCGCTAACAGATTGAAATAGCCCAGGCGGTCGGATCAGCTATGGCTTTGGAGTTATATCAATGCTCCGACGAAAGTAACGATAACAGCCGAGCCGAAAATCTGATGAGAAGGCGACTTCTCTGGACCTGCTATGTCATGAACGTATTTGTATCGACCTGGCTAGAGCGACCTTCGCTGATCGATGATGCTATCGTCAAAGCAACCATTCCGTCTACTCAACAATCTCAATCAGGCTGGCAGTCGAAAAACGACTACTCCGCAGGAGCAGATTCTGAACAAGCTTGCGAAGATACGAGAGACCCGGATTATGGACTTCAGAAGCTTGTTTGGGTTGCGTACATCCTTTCTGACGCCAACAGATACCTGCTTGTCACTGAACCCACTACGCAGGAGGCATATGGCCATCGACACAAGATTCGTCGTGACCTTGATCTTTGGGCAGCCGACGTAAGTCGCACTCCGGACCCTCCAAGCCAACTATTTGATGGTCCGGAGGCGAACGTTTTACTCGAATGTCGGGTCATTTACCACTTGATCCACTGCCTCATTTACCGCCCGCTTTTGCCGTTGCATCTTGGTGAGCCTACAGGAGCAATGATGATACAACACTGGGTGGCCGAAGCAGCGGAGATTGGGTTTCGTCATGCAACGGCAATTCTTGAGCTTGTCGACCAAACTCTTCAGACAAAGCCTCACCACCTGCCGCCTTTCATATCATATTGCATCTTCACAGCTGGGACAATTCACGCTCACGGTGTACAATACGCCAACGACCACAAGAACCAAGGCCTGGGAATCGGACTTAACTCTTTTAACAGTTCTCCGTTGGCAGCAGAATCATTCGCCGGCTCCTCTGAATTTCTCAACAAGGGCGTGCAACAGCTTTCCGCCATTGGCAACGATTTCGAATCTGCGCGGTTGTTCAAGCAGAGACTCGACGAGCTTGCAAAGGAGCACGTTAGCCTATCAAGCAAGAATGTAGCTGGATACGCGCCCTCTCGATCGAACAAGTTCTTCCACCGATACTCTGTCGAGCTCCGACAGAAAGTCCAGGGCCTCTATGCGACCGAGGTACCTCCTACTCCAACACACTTGCAGCCACCGGAATCTCCGGAAGACAATCTAGGAAAGATGGGATTCCCGGCAGTGACGTGGAGTACGAGTCAAAATCACGGTGGCGCTAAGATTCCTTTCGCGCCGTCTAGGCTGAGCATTGGACACCCAGCAGCCAACAACCTTGGCCATTCCAGATCGTTCTCAGACACCACGTCTTTGAATCCATCTTACTCATTTGGAGGGACCAATCAGTTTTCACAGAGGCCACTCCCAGTATGGCCAGGCTTTCAAGATGCCACGCCGAGACAGATCATAACCCAAGACACGCCAATGCTGGATCCCTCGTCACAGCTAACATCCCCTATTCAGCAGGAGCAGGCAGCGGCCGCAAGCCAAGGCGATTGGGGTGGTGTGAAGAATTTCGCCGGCGGCGAGTCAATGGGCTACGAGGTTCTTCCAGGTTCAATCACAGCAGGCGTTCCCGCGTGCCAGACGGGAGAAGAGTTACAGGGCTCGTTTGTACAATTTCAGAACTTCGCTGTATTGTAGTTTTATCAACCCAAAACATTCGCAGTTTCCCAACTTCGGCTGAAAGTGCTTATATGTGCGAGACACAGTTCGTAAATTAATGAACCTGGCGGACTTCGGAACCAGCACGAAATCTGTTGTCCTCACGCTCATTTGCCACACGACCACTAATTCTGGTCGTTTTCGCTCCGCCCGCTCCACCCGTTTCACCTGCCGGTTTTCGTAATCATTGTAAACTTGGGTTCTTCTATCATGACTATCTTCTGATCAACAATTGATATTACGAGCCATACAATCGTTCCGAGTAAGTGGCTCTGTTCAAGTGTGTGTGACTCATCAGGAGATAGTGCGATTCAACCCGCCTTGTTACTCCACTTGTCCACACCCAGTATCAAGTTGATGTCATTAATATCGACCACCCATTAAGATGAACGGACTACTCGAGTCTCGTGATATCAGACGATAGATAGTATCTATTGAATGATCCGTGGAATAATAAATACAGAGACTTTCGTATCAAGCTGGAAAGCTCAGGATCGGTGGGTAACAGCACAAGAATTACTTTGCTCTTGCTTCCATAGCATAATTCAATCTTGCTTCAAAAATGAAACAAAGTTAGCAATAGATTTTCTCTGTTCAAGCAAAAGGATTCTTGATACCTACTTGTAACTGATATCATCTAGTAGAGTTGATTGAATTCTTAGGAATTCGAAGAGATGTGCAGGAGGGACTTTTCTTTCTAAACTACTTTGGAGTAAGAGTTAAATATTCCACAGCATGATACGACACAGGTGAGTTTCTCCGAGATTGATAGTGAATGAAGTTATAGATTATACATTTGCTGCATTAAAAAAGCATGGGTATACAGGTCATCTCAAGGGGACACACGGAAGATGAACATCCTATGGATCCAAGATTTTGAGACTGATGCATTTACACGAGAGTGAAGAACTAGCAAGTCACTTAGGTTTCTAAGAAAGGGCAAGAATGGGAGTAGGCTATCTTTGATGCTGATGCAGTCCAAATTCCAGGTCCATATAGGGTGCAATGATATCGGAATCGACAAGCTTTCTTATCCCCAAGTTGGAAAAGAATATCTACATGTATTTTACTGGCTTTCACTGTCAAGCAAAATGATGACCATCATTGACGGGATTGTAGACGCGTCCCTATATATAGCATGTGATGGTAAGCAGTAAGATGTAATGTACGAAGGTGAAATACAACTATGTAGTGCTCAGGAGCTTGAATACAGGTGCCAGAAAGCTGTTATCCCAATCAAATAATGACTTAAATCCCGTATACCAGCTTATTACATGTCTCCAAGCTCTCTAGTCTGAATCCTGGCCTTCTCGGCAATTTCATGCGCGGTCTTCAACCCCTCAATGATTCTATCAAAGTGCGCACGCTTTTTCAAAGTCTCATCATCCTCTCGCGCCATCTTTTGAACCTCTTCTTCACTCAGAGTGAACACCCAATCAGTTGACAGGCCCATGAGGGGCCCCCCAGAGTAGGACACGAAATCTTCGATAATGTCATTGATGACATATCTGATGAACGCCTCGAGAGATAACTGAACATTGTGTTAACGAGTAATCGAAACTTGGAAGTTCTTGGGGAAGTCACATACGTCGTAGTATACTTTGACGACATCATGCACGTCGTTGATCATGTTGCCTTCGATGGAGTGGTGGAAGTGCTGGAACAACAGCTTCGAGTGAGCCAAGTCGAAAGAACCCGATTTGAAACTTGGAATGGACCCAAGAGCCTCGAGAAGTCGAACAGTGCGCAGCGCTTGCAACCTTTCCTGGAAACGCGGATCGGTTGTTTGCAGGTGAGATTCGAGCTCCCGGCGGCAGTGCTCTTTGAGCTCTCGGATCGCCTTCTTTTTAGCTTGTTGCTGAAGTTGAGAAAGAACTCTAGAAAGCTTTTCATAAAGATTGCTGGAGCAGCTATGTGAGCAAACGTCTTCGAGAATCCGATTCGAAGCGTACTCGATGTCGTTGGCAACGATTTCAATGTAGCGTTCTGCAACTTGCTGCCAATTCTCTGACTGTTTTCTGAAGAGAATCTTAATGACATCTGTATTGACAAGGCCCGGTAGCTCAGTTGTCTGCCAGATGCGAAGCTGGTCGCGAATAACTTCTACAAGTGGCGTACGTAGCTGGGAGGCCACCGTCGGTTTCTTACGCATAGCGTGGCGCTTTGTGGGCGGGGTCAAAGGAGGTGTAGTGACTTGCTCTTGGTCACCATGCTCGGTGGTGTTCGGTGGAGGCGGATGTCCTGCTAACCTAGCTGAGTAAAAGGACACAGCCTTGGTGAGCTGGATCATTGGGTCAACACTTGTATCCTCAAACAAGTGAGTGTGCCCGCGGGCTTGCATCTCTTCAGTGAAGCTTTCGTTCGCCTCTCGCACTAGTCCCCTGACGCGAAGGGCTGCCTCAGAAAATGATCCGGGGCTATTGAGCGTCTTGACTGCTACTGTGTGATATCTTTCAATCACACTTCTGATGTATTGCTGGCGAAGGCTGTGAGTTGGGCGAGGGTCTCCCAGACCCTTCCTGGACTCTTCGGCTTCTGAAAGAAGCCTTCGAACAGATTCCTGGATAGCAGGGAAATTGCCGCGGATCTGGGCACAGAGAAGATTTCCGAGATATTTCTGTAGCATAATTGAGCCTCGTCGGTTTTCTCGTATCTCGTCCCAACGTGGCTGGCTGAAAAGTTTACGTTCGGCTTCTTTGATGTCGAAGTCATCGCCGTCTAATGGAGACCGGTTTCGTACTACAAACCACCCATCTTGCATTGACTTTCCCGAATCTTTTCCTCGTCCGCTAGCAATCTCGATCACCTTCAATATGTCAGCATCTTTTCATAGCATGGTATGACCTTCGTACCTTAGTTGGATTCACCAACATGTCACACTTGGTAAAGACGCCCACAAGACGTTTTTTGTCAACCAAATCAGCAGCCATCTGGAAAATTCCCTGAGTAGCAAGATCTGCATCAGCGGCAGCCACACAACTGTATTCCGTTAGAATAAGAGAAATAAACTCAATGTATCTCGAATAATAGCGTTACTTACATGACAATGTTGGCTGGTTGTCTCATGTACTCCTCGACCATCAATTTCACGCCGTACGCTTCATGCTGATTGACATCGTGAGCGTATGAGATTATACCTGGTACATCAAGAATACTGAAATGTGAGCGCTTTGGGCCTGAGAGTTCAATGCGAAGGACCTGAGTCGCGAAGTTCTTTGCGTGAACCCCTTGGCCTGTTCTGATGCCCATGTGTTTGGTAGATATCTGAGGATCTTGTGAGATATTGAAGATGGTGACTGGAAATTTAGAAAAAAGAAATAATGTACCTCGTCCATGATTTCTTTGAAGTCATCAATCCCCAAGCGGTCACTTGTATAAAGATAGTCCTTGTACGAGTCGTTGGATGGGTAATCGAAAACATCAACATTAGTCACCTCAGGGTCGACAATAGTGATCTTGACAGCATTTTCACTGCCCGCAGCAGTTCTTCGAGATACTATCCGTGTAGCAAAGCGAGTGCAGATACCAGTATCGACTGGAAACGGGATGTCGGTTAGGCTTTGCAGCAACGAGGATTTGCCAGAAGATTGACCTCCAACAATGACTAACTGTATCAAGATATTGTCAGATAAGATTATTGAGAAAAGGGAAAAGTTATGTAAACGAACCTGAGGTATGGCCAACTCCTGGTTGACACCGCAAGATTGAAGACGATCGATAGCGTCAAATAGAATCCTGCTACTATCACTATCGAAGGGATTTTCAGCGATTGATCTCTCCCCTTGAGCCAATTCGTTTTCTGAGCGGGGGGGGCGCGCCGAAGATTCGGCAGCAGAGTCGACCTGCGACTCATTGTCCTGTGGCACGGGGTAATTGCCAGCCCGTGGCATTGTGAGACCAGGTGGCTTCTGCGTAAGCCTGGAAGCGACAAGAGTTGGCTGAACCATAGTTGTCTGGGTGCAGAGAGGATTTGATGAGGAAAGTATAGAAATATGATGATCAAGAATCAGATGTATTCAATTTTAGTGAAGTGAAGAGAAACAAAGAGGAAATTTCTTTGTCAATAATCATGGATGTAAATGGAGCTTTATATATGTAATGCCAGGCAAGCAGGAGGTAAGAACATGTATGGTCGAGACCATGTTTTTAGCAATCTCCGTTATTGCATTTTTATTGATACTACAAGAGGCAGTGTTATTTCTTCCATGTATGTAACTGTTGCGATGTTGACCATCGCGGATAAATATCGGAATTATCGGGTTAACCCCGATGACTCATTGCCGGCGAATCCTCGGATATTCGGCCATAGATTCTCCGAGGATTCGTGGGCAATAAGTTGGTTATTCAACCAACCAACCCACGATAATTATCCTTCTTTTCTTTACGCATAATAGAGAACCACAGTTACCCCCATTATTCGTCAATTGCCACCGATACGTACGGTTAACCGTATCAACCTATCCCTTGGTGTTACCAACAGTAACCATCATACACGGACATAAACGCTGTGTATAACAATTGCCTGGTTGTCACGCCGCAAGCAACCCCACGGTCCCTATCTACAGAGGAGCAGGTGCCAAGCAGTTCTGAATTGTCTGAAACAGTACTAAAGAGCACTTGCATCGTTTTTCTTCAAGGATAGTCAATCTGCCTTGCCAAGGTAGACATCATCGCATGGCCGCAAGGGGCTGCGAGCTCTGGACATGGATAACAAGTAACGTGGAGACCGGGGGTCCTATCAATTAACCCTCCAAGGAATCTTAGACTAGGACTTTTACCATTTTGGGAAAGCGTTGACCGACTTAGATGCAGGGGAAGTTTGAAGTCAAGTTGAAATATGCTGTTGGTAGCAGATTAGACATGGGGCTTACCAGGAGACCATGTACGCACCAATCCGATGCGCCTGTCACCACACCTGCCACTCACCATGCCGACCCGGTACAATGGTCGCGAAACAAAATGAACCATCCGGGGTATCGGCCACGCCGATGTGAACCTGCATGCAGTCAATAGAAACTGGTGCTAGCCGCCATCCCGGGCCGTCTCGGGCCTGGCCGCAGTTGGTAGGCCGCTCCGTTGGGACCGGGACCATTTGAAGAGTTCGCCGATGACCCTAACACCGTTTGAAACATAATCCATGGAAATGAGCAGTTCATGGTGGGATTGTGATATCAGCCTCGCCGCGCTGACCTTTCCTGCGGCCGTGTTTAGGAAAAACACCTATTACGCTGGGTAAGTTGGCCAAACATGTTGGAGCAGAACCTCCTGACGCCGGTAATGGGCCGCAATGCCAGAAGGTAGGTATGATTCTCAAGGCGCAGTTGGCTGCCGTGTTTGACATGATCCGATGCAACGACAGAATTGCCTGAGACAAACTGGAAATACGAAGGCCCTAGCCAATGCCTGTTGCATGCAGCAACCCCATGGGCGTTACGCCCTTCTCCTCGTGCCTTGCTACGACACCAACGTCGCCCCTCTTGCCATCATCCACTAGGCCCTAGCATAATTCTTCTAACGTCCAGTCACCTAACTTGCGCAGAGGGACATCATCGATAAAGGTCGGCGTGTTCCAAGGATTTGCCCTTGCACACGGAGGTGCAAAACCAAATGAAAATAAGCGCCAGCACAAGGATTCCTGCGGAATGAAACCAACTTTGGACCCAATTCTGCACCGGGTATGTAGAGCAGATAAGGGGTGCTCAACTTGACAAGGAATTTGGCTAGCATTTTGACCATCGAGGCTGTTTGCGACGTGTCTCGGAGTCGAAGGGCAGGGACTTGGTCGCGACGACGTAATTCAGGGGCGCCTGATAGTATTTTAGCCGGATTGATCCTGATCAGAGCGAAAGAATAGCCACATACTCATGCAAAGACATAGACAGCAGCATACACTGTTGACATGGCAACAATGCTAGTCGCTATCGCAAACAAAGGACCAGGGCGAAGATCTGAGTGTCAGCGTACAAAAAGAAAGGTCGATTTGCGCGATGAGCCTTGTACATGCCGCCGTTCTGTATGGTAGTCGAGATGCAAACCCACGAACACCATACACATGTTCACGATGGCATTGGCGATGGTCATCGTAAGAGCTCACGGTACCGATGTCCTTGAGAAATGTGGCTACTTAGGTCGCAAAAGCTTATCATTTAGCTTATTAGGAAAACTTCAACACGGTCCCAATAACAGTTCGCTTCAAGTTGCTCACAGGCCACTTCCACTAGGAATGTAGAGAGCAGGCACTGGGTTGAAGAGTCTCAAGCCCAGGATCCCGTCGGGCTCGTCTGTACATTTGATAGCCGGGACATCATGCTGTAGGAGGTAACGTGGCCAAAAGTATAGCCATTGAGAATTATAGAGTGTGCCATCTGTCTTGTTGCTGGAACACATCTTCCGCGCCCGAGAAACAGAAAGAATATCGTAGAATATGTTCATGATATCTGAGATGGGATAAACTTTGCCCCATTTAATCTTGTTTTCTGTATTCTCAAATCACTTAAGAAGGCCAATAAGGAAGAGACTATTCGATTTGAGATATTCTCAGAGCTGCGGCGAGATGTAGTGGTGTTGTGAAATGGTATTCTTGGGAGCGCCCCATGTCTACAGCTAAGTGTTCATACACGGCTGACTTTGTGCGCTTATAGTACATTACCCAAGTTAACATGCACAGCCTTTGTCTGCGAGTAGGCGGCAAGGCCAGCCTCTCCCAGTTCGCGACCGATGCCACTCTGCTTAACACCACCGAACGGAACACGGATGTCCGAGTCATTGGAGCTATTAATCCAGACCATGCCCGACTCTAGACGAGCGGCGACGCGATGACATCGCTCGATATCCCTGGAAAATAGCGCCGCACCGAGTCCATAGGAGGTGTTGTTTGCCAAAGAAACCGCCTCTTCTTCCGTCTTGAATGGGGTTATGGCAACGAATGGGCCAAAAACTTCCTCTTGGAAGATTCGCATGTCCTTCCTCACATCAGAGAAGACAGTCGGTTCAATGAAAAAGCCCTTGCCGTCACCGACGTTCTTGTACGGAACACCGCCAGTCACCAGGCTAGCGCCTTCATCCTTGCCGGCCTGTATGTAGCCAAGGATCTTCTCATACTGCACCTTGGTGATCTGAGGGCCCTGGAACGTGTCATCGTCGAAGGGGTTGCCGACCTTATTCTCCAGGCAGATTTTCTTGAAGCGAGACACATAATCCTGGTAGACCTCTTCTTGGACCAAGATCCTGGACGTGGATGTGCAAATCTGACCCTGGTTGCTCATGATTCCGACGTGTCCCCACTTGGCGGCTTGATCAAGATCGGCGTCCTTGAAGACCAGAAGAGGTGACTTCCCGCCCGTCTCGAGAGTGATGTTCTTGATGTTGGCACTAGCTGCCTTCATGATTTGACGTCCAGTCGCCGTGGAGCCGGTGAAGGCAACCTTGTCAACGTCGGGATGGGAAGCCAGGGCATGGCCAGCTTCCCTCCCGAAGCCATTCACAATGTTGATGACACCAGCAGGAAACCCAGCTTCCTTTACCAGGTTCGCGAAGTACAAGATTGAGAGAGGCGTTTGCTCGGCAGGCTTCAGAACGACGGTGTTGCCGCACGCCAACGCCGGGCCTAGCTTCCTAAATGTCGGTTAGTTTTGACCCTAACATAAATCACACGGTCACTCACCATGCCGCCATCATGATTGGGTAGTTCCAGGGAATGATCGAAGCACACACTCCAACAGGTTGTTTCAATGTGTAAGCAAACTTCTTGGGTGTAGTTGGGATTGTCTCGCCGTGGATCTTGTCTGCCCAGCCAGCGTAGTAGCGGAGGGTGGCAATCGTCTCAGCGACGTCCTCGCCAAGAGCAACATTGTAGGGTTTACCGCCGTTCCAAGTCTCAAGAGTCGCCAACGCCGCTTCATGTTTCTCAACAAGATCGGCAAGCTTAAACATGAGCCGACCGCGGTCGGTATTGGAGATGTCCCCCCATCCGGGACCGTTCAGTGCTGCGCGGGCTGCTTTCACGGCCCTGTCAACATCGTCGGCCGATGCTGCCTCGACTGAGGCAATTTCAGACTCGTCGCTGTGAGTTGGTCAGCGGCGGCGAGCGATTGCTTGTCCATTGCATACACACCTTGGGTTGATGGCTGTGATCTTAGAATCGCTGTTTCCTTTGACAAACTCATTGTTAATGAAGAGACCAGTGGGGAGGCTAATCTTGGTGCCGTTTGGCGCGGTAAGATCCAAGGTAGCGGCAGACATATTTTATCAGTATAACTTATCACGACAGATTGCTTCAAGAATAAGAATATTACTGAGGGCGAGGTGTTGGGATGCAATGCCGCTTTCATGCGGGGCAAGAAACAGCCCGTCATTCTTATCTAAGTTGGAGAGCAATGGCCTTCCGACTGATGTGGTAATCAATATGATAACAATCACCATCTAACCAATAGGTTAAGTGGATATTGCAGACCAACATGAGCGGGGTTATCAACTGAGACTTCGTCCCTCAAGGGCGGCAATTGATAGGCAATTGATAAGCATTGCAACGCGGTCTCGGAACAGAGGATATTTTGGGGCGGTGCAAAAGGCTTCCCCGCGCCCTTCAGCCCTCAATGAGTTACAACCTGGATCTAATTAGTTACATCAATTATCCGTACATCAGTTCTAGATCGTCACAAGAGGTGCGGAGATGAGACACTCACTCAGCGAGCTAGGTGGTTCAACTCAAACTGAGCTATCCTAATTGGGTAACGATTTAGACCACTGGCGCGGGGTCCCAGAGATGCAACGTTAGACTGCGCATAACCAATCGCATGGGAAAATGTGATGCAGTAGAATGTCATTACTGTGACGAAATGTTGAGCTATCATGATGAAAGGAGGGGCTCTGCCGGATTCGTGAAAATGTCAGAATCTACAAGATGAGCGATATCGCAGTATAATCCTCAAGACTTTTTTTGTGACGCGGACCTGCTGCGTAATATCTACACAACTGGGGGTAATGTAGGCCACAGCCATGCTCGACTTTTCCAGAAATGCGCTCTCGTACTTGACAAAATCATCCGACTGACTCTGCTTCCTCCTGAAACCAAGCTGCCACGTAGGCAATGAAGTGCGATGTTACGTACAACTTGCAGAGAGGTGCATGCTAGGGGCAACTTAACACAAACTCCTAGAAACTTTGCGCCAATTGTCCATTGCGATGCCTCTATAAGCACATTGTGGCCTGTCCTTTAGGCAGGTAGCAACGCCTCAGCCTCGATCTCAACCTTCATGTCTTCCAACGCAAGCTTTCCAATCTGGACACATGTCCAGATAGGACGGTGATTGGGGAACAGCTTCTTGAACTGGGCAGTCATGATATTGAAGCTTGCGTCCATGTCGGTGTGGTAGGAGCGGATTGCGTAAATGTTGTCAAGTGATAAATCAGAATCAACGGCTTTGAGGGACTTCAAAATGTTGTCAAATGCAAGCTCGATTTGTTTCTCGATGTCGGAAGTGATGCCACCCTTTTCATCCCAGCCGCCCTGGCCCGAGGTGCGAACTATGTTGCCGAGCTTGACAGCTTGGGAGTAGTGGTATTGCTCGGCATTGATCTCGGTGCCGGGATAGTTAAAGAACTGAGCGGAAGGCATGATTGCGGATTATGTGAGGTCTCGATTTTCGACTTGTATGCCTGAGAAATGCGTAGAGACGAGCTTGGAGAAGGATCGTATCATGAGGCGGTGGCTAAGTCTACTACTTATTTACATCAAGTTAGCTACAAGCGACGGTCACGTCACTCTCCAAGCTTCATGCGGGGATATCACCTCTCTCCGGAGAAGACTGGGTGCTAGTTATCTATCGAAACGAGTATCCTGGTTGTTATCTTTGCTTGTGAGACATCAGCCTGGATTGATTTGTTGGTATCTCATGCAGTGTGGTCTTAATCAGGCCTTTCCAACTGTCTGAATATGTGCAGTGTCATGTCGTACACGTCGAAGTGGCCCATCGTGTTGCCCAAGGTAGTATAGCGGCATGCAAGAGAACAGGACTCAGCTTGGCTGCGTCATGCAAAACGCAGAAAATGGGATAATAGATGTCAGAAGAAAAGCAAATCTAAGGGGAAGTCAAAGCACGAAAACGAGAGATTATTTACCGTGCCAACGAGTCAATGATTGACAGGGAAATCATAGCTTTTGGCTTTCGTTGATTGATTACTAACATTCCTTAACCCCAAGAATGTTCCTCACGAGGGGTTACGCGGTTCGCTCTCAAGTCACAGCTGTGCAGTTTCCATCAACTAGGCTTCCACAGACTTTTCGAGTATGAATGAGAAGTTGTTTCGAGGCACCACTTGAACTGAAAGTGTAAATTTGAGTTACCGTAGCAGCATTACAGTCCCCACAGCTCTCAAGGGCGTACTCAACGTAGAAGCGTTGCCTTCGTAAACGGCGGACTCATCGAGCTTGTCTTAATTACAACAATAGGCAGTATCTAACTCGAAGTACTCAATGCTAACCTTGACACATATGTACAGTCTTATCGATATTACATCTTTGCATCTCTTCCGAGGCCAGTCTGGCCAATTGCAAACTCCTTCCTCTCATCTGCAGACAATCTGGTATCGGCAATCTCGCCCGTTTGTGATTGCTCTTCTACCGTCGCCAGCTTGTCTTCCTCGACGGGGACATGGTCTCTGACAACGAGCCAGGTGGGGTAAACGGCCAGAACTGCATTGTGTTAGTGATATCTTCCATCCGCAGTTAGGTATCGAATAGACTTACCCAAAAGAATGGTGTTGACAGCCAGCGGCACTCGCCCCCCCTTCCACTTCTGCGTGTTCAAGCCGAAGGAAATGGCCTGAGAAAAGCTCTCCTGGCCTCGCAAGATGCCGGAAAACCGCGCAAGCTCCGAAATGTTGTCAGTCTTGGTAGCCAGAAGGTAATATAGCCAGTTCTGGAGTCCCTGGCGGGCAAAGTCCCAAAGCAAAAGCACAAAGAAACCCTCCGTGAAGCCTTTATCCTCCCAGTCGTACGCAGGGGGTTTGCGGGTGTACTTTTCCTGTATGACCCATCCATAGACCCAGGCGATAATGTGCCACACAACGACGTAGTAGAAGCCGTAGTTGATGCGTTTTTTAACGCTCAGCTTCTTGTGGTCAAGAAGCATGCTCATGATCTGCGACGAGAGGAGGGTGCCGAAGTTGCTGACGAAACCGATGAGGGCGCGAGCGCGGACACCGAAGTAGTATGACTGGAAGTTCCCGCTATATTGGTTGAAATAGGCGGCCCAGAAGATGGGAAGAAGAAGAAGGACATCCTTTCTCTTGGAGACGCGGAGCAGCGCTTGGAACTCGGCCTTGAAAGACTTCTCTGCCTTGATGATGACCTTGCTGCCGTCGGATCGTTGGACCTTCTCGGGAGGTGAAAGGGCAAGGGCAAGAGGGACACTCAGACATTGCAATGCAATGAAGACCAGGTAGGTCTGGGATCCGACCTTGCCCTTGGCCTTCGCGGCGGCATTGTTGTTGAGTGCCAGGACGATAGCACCACCAACAAGAGGACCACCGGTTCTGAACCAGAGCCAGACTGTTGTATGTAATCAGTCCCCAGCCGAACTCTTAATCGTCCCCGCAATTAACTTACTATTCATATACTTGCCGCGCTTCGATGGCTCCGGGTAACCCAGTGCAACGGCACCCTCAGACGCCCAGAACAGGCCGGCAGAGATGCCACAAGCGACTGCCCCAACCAGTACAAACCACACGTTGCCGAAGCGGTTGTTGGTGTAGAGACCAGCCGAATAAAGGGGATAGCCAACGGCGCCCAACAAAAGTGTCCACGAGAGTCCGATGCGGTTCGCGATGGGTCCACCAAACAGGCAAAGAAAACCCATGAGACCGAAGACAAGCGCGTTGGCGGCGTTGACAAGGAACGGCTCCTGGGCACCACCTGCGCCAAGTGCGTTCATCGCATTCCACAGACCAGGCGCCATGAAGCCTAACGTTGCGTTAGTTACCGTGTGGTACCTAAGCGCCTGGGATGCAACATACCGACTCCTCCAATGACGAAAGCATTGAACAGGGTGCTGTGATACCACACACGCTTGACAGGCGCGTCTGAGGCCGCATCTTGGACCTCCGCCGGCGCAGACTTGTGTACTTCTTCGGCCATGGTTGTCAATGGTCAATTCGAAGACAGATGCCCAGCTCTGGGGGGAGTATCACAAGACGAACTCAATTCAAGCTATATAACTCTCTTTCCTTCGGCTTGCACTATCACAACAACTGTCAACAAGCTACCCCGACGCCACAAAAGTCCCTCGAAGTTCTGTCCGTGGAATGAACTCCTCATTCTCCGGTCAAATGACGAATATGCTAGTGCAACGTTGAATCCACCTCGTCAGCGGGAAGCGCGCAGCCTATTCGGCAGCCGACGATGAGGCTCCACTCAGCAGCCGATGGGCTGCCGACCGTCGGCCGTTTTCCGACGGGAAACTAACCGCAAGAAGGAAGCTCGTCGTCACATAAGATTTAGAGCACCATGGTGGATTAGTGATAAATATCACACATAGGAACAGCGGCTAAGGTTGAAGCTTTGAGATGAGAATGCTAGTATGATGTAGGAGATGCACAGATAGGTGAAAGAATAGTTAATGTAATCGCGATATAAAGAAATAGAGAAGCTGTTATAGGTTACAGGTTGCTGGTTATAGAGACTAAATGAGTAGAAGGCGGAGAGTTCTTATTATTATAGGATAACTACGGCGCCTAGTACGTAAGGGCGGCAGGCATGTGAGGAACAGTATTCTCTTATGTGGGGGATGAGCACACAGGTAGATAAAATAGTTCGTAACCTACGAGCAGATCACTTTAATTTAACAACGGGGTGAAGTAGGGCGTCCCAATCCATCGTTGACGCTTTCATTCTTAGCGAAAACTCGCGGCCGATGGCCCAGTTGACTTCGCAGCCGTACTGCATAGGCTCCTGTTGTGAGTCGTTAGCTATTGTGTGGCACCAGGGGTATAAGCGGCTGAAAAAAAAGTGAATAAGACTTACATCGAGCTGAATGTCGAGCGGATTCTGATGCGAGTTAGCAATGACACTAAGGTAGGTTTCCCGGTTAGTGATGCCGCAGTGATTATTTTCTTACGGATCTCATCAGTAATATCAGCTGGTGTAATTGTATGGCTGATTACTTGCCTTTCACCATCATCACATCGAACTGTTTTCAAAGTACAGTGTTGCTCTTGGCGAAGACGTCGCTGAGATAATCACTACTCTCTGCCACTCCATCGTTCAGATACGGCCGGATCACGTCTGACAGGGATGTTCCGGACCGCCACTTGCACCCTTGCGATCTGGCACCTACCTTACGGTGCCTGCGGCAGGTGTACTTTGGACGATTTACCCGATACGTCGCGGCGGCCATCGCGTTGACGGCCCTTTCCCAGCATGAGAACGACCGGGTTCTTCAAGACTTGGGGTGTCGTATGGATAAGTACAAGGAGCTTTACAAGCTGATATGCGTTAAGGACAAGGGAGTTCTCCAAAAGGAACGAGAATGGCATGAAGCAATTGGACGATAGTCTCGTTGACCAGGTTAAAGAGGGCGTCGTAGAGAAGCTTGCCTCTCTGGCCTCAGAAAAGTTGTATTTGTTCGCCAACGAGCCTTTAAGTGCTGATTCCTGTGATTGGATTCCACCATAGTAAACCTTGAAGGCCTCGAATTCAATAGTTCTATAACCGTTTTATAACCATCCTTCCTTGTCCATTCTCTGCCCCACCGCTAGAGCCTACAGAAGTGACATTATCTCCTGACCTCTCCCTCGCCTTCGCCTTGCGCGCAAGCTTACGCTTTAGCTCCCCAGATCATTATCCTCTCTTACCCAAAAATAGGAGTTCATAACATTCCTTTCACGACGAAATGCCTTCCCATGGCAGGAGGGCCAGGCCGACGTAGATACCCGTATTCGCCAGCTGTTCTGAGCCCATTCATTGTTGGATGGCCCTCACTGACACTGGCCGCAATTACAGACCCGCCCCGTCATCTCTTCCTGACTATGGTGCATCGAGCACGGCCGCTCGGTCCGGTTCACCGTCGAGTTCGATGCCGAAGATCAAAAAGAATTGAAAGGGGTGTCATAGGAAGGGCAAGAAGGGTGATGAGAGGCACGGTTCCGTGATTGGTTCTTATAACGTATTCAATATAGTCTACGCGGGGTTTTCATTTGATAACTATTTGGGAAATGAAACATGCCTATTCACGTAGACTTATGTCTGTACCTAAGAGACTGTATGGCGTAATGGTAGACCCAGGTAACAACAATAGATATCCAGATGTTCGGTATCTTTTCTAATTATATCTTGAACTGTTTTGCGTAATCCGAGTCGCTCTTTGGGTGTTGTACCAGTGAATTTCCATGCGACACAATTTGATCCCTTATAGAGGGCGGCTGGTGGCCTGCCTCATAGAACCAGGCCCGACATCATGACCCCCCTCGCAGGGGCATTTCATAGCTTGATAGGCCGTATCCTACTTCATATTCAAGGGGCTTGGTCCTCTGTATCAAGATGTGCGAAACTGGAAAAGACATCGGCCGAGTCAGTCTTACGGTCTCATAGTCGTTCTAATAAGGATCGCTAGCAAGTCAGTTCGGGTATAGGTGGTCCAGCAACGATGAACCCCGGCGGGTGACAATCCGTCCGAAACCTTGGTTGACGTCCCGTCGCCAAGCTGGTCCAGGTTCCAATCGGAGCCGTGCCACAGAACCCGCGGTGGCCGGGCCAGTCAACCTGTTCTTGAATCAGTCTGCCCTATTCCCTCGGCAGTCTCTGGGCACCGAGCTCTGAGCATTTGCGCCCGGAAACATGAGGTTTGCCGGGCCCGCGGGTCCATCAATCGGTAGCTTTCGGGGGCAGCGATGCTCCACCAACGACACGTGGCAGCCCGAGCCCAGGCGGCCCGCTTCAGGGCCTTGCGGCCGGCGTAGATCCCCTGTGGTGGTGGTGGGCGGGACGCCATCGCTTTCGTCCTTGGACGAGTGATGGCCAGGGTATGTGGGTTCGAGGACTCGAATGGACAGTCTTGCAGGTCAATCACTAAAGACGCGGCCGTTGTGTGTGTTTGTGTAAAACGATGGGGTCGAACAAGACAACACATTTCGCAACGTGAACGGATTCCAGTGGTCAACTGTGGCGGCATCGTAGCGACTCCCCCCTATCTTCCAGGTACCGAGGCGCCTAGATTTGTGGCCGTGAGCAGCGATTCGTCCGGGGAGGCTTGCTTCATCGAGCCTGATTCCCAAAAGTCAACAGCGGACGATGCGATATGCGACTGCGACCTACCATCAGCTGCTTGACTTCCTAGGAACGGTCGGGTATTCGTTAATCTCCCCGTTGGGCCATTGGTGCGAGGGACAGACTTTCACATGCGTCGCTATGTATCGCCAGCACACCCCTGTATACGAATACATAAACTACCATGTCGCATGCTTCCCCCACCAGCCCATCAACGGCAACTCAAGCCAAGCAAATGGGACTGATCAAGCAAGGCCCCAGGGTACCTAGAACTTAGAAGTGAGCCAAGACCGGGGCTCGGTTCTTGGGAGGGTCACACTGTCACTTGTGGCAGTCCTGGGACTTGGGGAAACGGGTAGGTTAGGACAGAACCGGAGCGCGAGGGGGGCCAGTCGGAGAGGACGATCCTCGGGCTGCCGGCTCCACCCCGGGAAGTTCTCTAGCTCTCATTAGGCAGTTCTCACGGCAAAGACGGGGTTCCATAAAAGTCAGGCCACCTTGGGACGGCCGGTCTCCATCCATTCTCGAATCGTCTCTCCTTTTTCGGGGGCACCGTTTTTTCCCAGCCCACGACTAGACATGCTGGGCTGGCTGTGTGACCCTGTGACATTCTACTACCTACATCGTAGGTAGCCCAGAGTTGACTGGCGGCCATGTTGGTTCAGCTTCCATGCAAGAGACTCCGAGGATGAGCGGGTGCGTCCCCCTCGCAATCCGCTTGCGGAGCACATGATGGCTTGCTGTGCATGTAAACTCGGTGATGCTTCTTTGCGACAGACCGCTGTCAAACTCTACTTGGATCCAACCCGTCCACGCCCGAGGGTGTGAGCGTGTCTCTCGGAGAATGTGTCCACACTGCCGCCGGGCCGTTGTCGGTGGAGGTGAGGTAATCCGCCCTGGGCGAGGTTCCCAAAAGGGTCTTTCAGGTATGATCCCCGGGTTCCTCCTTTTGTTGATTATTTCTACCCGTGTTGGTCCCGCGGCTTGTCCATACTCCCTCCCTCTCTTTCTCTCCCACAACATGCTTTCCTTTCCCTCTTTTTGTTTCTTGCCGTCCCGATACACTTCTCTTTTCCTTCTCTGTTTTGTGACGGACTAGACTGAATAGACTTTGAGCGCTCGTGGTCGCAGCAAACCACCGGTCCAAGGTAAGCCGCCGTAAACCTTTCCCGCCCTCGGGCTCTCATTCGGGCCAAGATATCCCTGCCGCGTCCGCGCACTCGCTGACCGGGCCAGCGCGCCTCCAGATAAGATCCCTTACATGCCAGAGTAAAGCGACCACCGAGGCGAGAAGAACTTGAAATAGAAGAAGAAAAAGAAGAAGAAGAAGAAGAAGAAGAAGAAGAAAAAGTCATAATCAGAAAGCAATAACGAGCACAAAGACCCAAGACCCGGAACCAACGGCAAACAACCGACGCAATGGTCCTCATCACGCGCGCCATATCCATCACCAACTTCGCCGTCGCTTCCTCCGCCCTCGGCTTCCAGGTTTTCGTCCTGTACCCCTGGCACGAGCAGCTCTCCCACGACTTTGAAGAGCTCAAGAAGGAGCACCTCCGCGTCCTCGACTACGTCAAGGGCGTCGACGCCGGTCTGAGGAAGGGACAGGGCGGCGCGCCCAAGGGAGAGTCGCTCTTGGAGCGTCTCGGCTACAAATCGTAGGTCCGTTGCCGCCCTCGGTGGCCTGCTGTTAATTGGTATCTCCCTCTCTTTGGAGGGGGGGGGCTTGAACTTGTTCGGGATCGGTCTGTCCTGTCCATCCCCGTCCTTCATTCTTTTTGGTCCGACATTCGTCAAATGAGAGAATAAAAGAGCTTAATATACCCCACGATGTACCGTAGCATCGCGTCCATGCCGTGTCTTTGTGCTCGGTCCCTCGGCTCCCGATGTGTTACCCATCATAAGGCCCGGCGCAGAACTCATTCATTTTCGAGCCATGCCGCGCTCTTCGACATGATCCGTCTACAGCTTGAGGTCAGCGGTGGGGCCTACAACGGAGAGTAGTTTGTGAACGAAGGTATTCGAGCCGTTGACGCGGAGCTCCATACGACGATTTGTGATCGCTGGCAACAACTTGGTCCTCGATAGTCATAGCCTGCCTCCGACACTGAGCCAACGAAACGCGGTGCATGCAATATTACGTGGAGAGTGACCCGCTTCACTGCTGCCAGATTACAGGCCCGTAGTCGGATCCGGACCGGACGCAGCGATATCGGGATAACGTGCCTTCATTACCGTCTTTCTCATCATTCATCACTGCAGGCTGGACGAGAGGGGTCTGATTCGGCCCATTTTAATCTCATTGAATAATAGCATATCACATCCTCGATCTCTTCGCCGAGGTCGCAAGCATCAGCCATGTAGGGTATCGCGAATTTCAAGTACTCAATCGCTCACCACGTGTTGTATCAAGCCACCTCGCTCTGCGTCACGCCATTCCGTCCCGGGGGGGTTTGACCTTTATAAAAGCCACTTGTTTCGCGTTCTACCAAAGCGCACATCAGCTTCGAGTTAATTCAACCCCGGCAATTCCGATGCCACTTCTCGATGCCTGTCACGAGGCCATCTCGGTTCCGTACAGTTGCATTAATCATAGGTCGTCGTCTTGAGAATAATCCAGCTTAGAGGTAGCTCTCCTCCTCGGCGGGCCAGGTGCCGATCCAGGCGACGAGGAAGATGAGCAGCCACATGATGAGCCAAGTGGCCTGGCCGCCGGAGGTGCCGAGGCCGACGAAGCTTCCCACAAGTAGCGCTGCGTGGACGAGGGCAACCACCAGGAGGAAGAGGTCAAAGTGCAGTCGTCCCTGGAAAGTAAATGTACGGTCAGTGTTAAACTCTCAATTTCATGTTCAGCCCCGCCGCCCTCGTTAGAGGCTCACTCACCAGCATGACTCCGAGAACCTTGCGGCGACCCTCGGCCTGGCCGATGACGGCGAGGCACCAAGCGACGAAGAGAAACCCGATGACGCCGAGGACGATACCCAGGACGGCGCCGAGGACCCGGTCGTGGGCGATGTCGCCGACGACGCCAATGACGGACATGGCGGTGCGGGTGCCGAGGGTGATGTACATGCACACCCGGCGGAAGAGGACGGCCTTGTCGGCGGCGTTGAGGCTGTAGGCCTCCCATAAGAAGGACCGGCAGCCACGCATGTTGGGACACGCGCGGTCCCTGAGGCTGCCGCCCCGGGACTGTTCGTTGCCGGCGGCGGCGTTCTGTTCACCGCCGTGTGTCATGGCCTGGTATCCGAGGGCGGCGCGGTGGTTTCCGAGAATGGGCGCGGTGCTGTCGCCGTCGCTGTCGGTAGAAGAGAAGGCGGAGGAGAAGGAACCCGTGTCATAGGCTCGAGAGAGGCTGCTGGTCGCGCCGAGGTAGAGCAGGCCGGGGTCGGTGCCAGGGACGGGGGGCATCATAAGCTGCGAGGGAGGGGGCGCCATGACGTGGGCTCCTCTTGATAATGCCGGGCTCGTCCGACAAGCGAGATGGAAGTCTTGGTGTTTGGTCCTTTCGTCGGGTCTTGCGGTAAAGGGGGGAGAGGATTGTGGACCTGGTTGTTGGTGGGAAGGGGATCGTGGGTTTTACGAAACGACAGGGGAGGCTTGCCGGTCTCACCCGGGAAGATCGTAAGAGTTTTGCAGATGTTTTCGATTTCGATTTTGATTCTTGTATTTTGTGTGGTTCTCGTCTTCATCTGGTGGGAGTAGTAGTCCTGGTCGTGGTACTTGAAAGGGCGGGTGCAGCAGCTCGACTGGACCAGCTGCTCCCGCTGTTCTGAGTCATTTGGCCATGTCATCACGAATGAGCCGTGTGGCTCGCTAGGAGAATTGACCGTTGTTGTGTATTCTGGATAGTGACGATACGTGTTGAGGCTGACCGGACATCAAAGGAACTCTCTTGCAGAGCCAAGAACGGGTGGTGACAACTGTGAACTGAGTCATAAATGTTCACAAAGACTGTTGTGGGATACCAGGATGATCACGGAACGAGACGAAGGCATCCCTCGTTCATATTGATATATGTCGGGGCTTGAGATACTCTGGTCGTTCCTCTGCTGGTATCTAGGCCTCTAGTCCGAATCCCTTCATTGCTAATTTCGACGGCAATATAGACCCTTGAGGCGCTTTGATTTCAGGAGAGTGACTGACCCGCCTCGCGCGGTTGATACCGATAAGGCCTGTCCAATGTGGAGATGCTCGTAGATCTACACCCGGGTTGTGGGATGCTATGGCGTCTTGGCGTCTTGGAAAGTAAGCTCCTGTTCAATTGAGAAGTGTGCGTAAGGCCATGATATAAGGTCATGATATAAGGTCATGATATAAGGTCATGATATATAGGCCGTATGCTACTCCGTACATCTATCCGTGTAACTGCTTGGGCAGCTGATTTGCAGGGACGGGGGTTATTTCATATGACCCCTGGGGCCATAACATAACATCATGGGAGAAAAGAAGAATGAAAACGTGATGAAGCTACGAATGCTATGATACAAAGGAATTTGCATTCCTCAAAGAGCCGTCATTCCCCCAAAAGACGTCAACCCCCAACTCCTCAAACCACAACAGTACTGGTACTCAGGTCCAAAGCTTCTGTCTCAGATCCTCCGGGACTGCTTGTTTGTTGCTCGTCGAATCAACGACCACGATGGCTCCCGTTCCCCGCTCGAAGACCGCCGCGCAGTGTCGGCCCCCGTTCTTCCGGACCGCGGTCCGGAGCTCGCCGAGCACGGTTGCCAGCTTCCGCAACGTCTCCTGGTGCGTGGCTTCCCATTCGGCGAACTGGGCCTTCGCGTCGGTGATCTTCCTGCTGTCGAACTCGCCCCCCGCGTGCCGGCCGACGATGAGCCAGGGCGTCCTGCCGAACCAGAGCTGCGGCATGAACTGGCCGATGGCCTTGTTCTTGGCCGCCGACTTGATCTCGGCGGCGGTCGACTGGTCCATCACCCGCGCTCCGTCGTAGACCGTCTCGACCTGCACGACCGGCGGCGGCGGCGGCGGCGGCGGCGGCCTTTTGGTCTCGCCTCGCTGGGCACCCTGCACCGACAGCTTCTCCATGCGCGGTACCAAAGCGTCCAAGGGATCGAGCTTTTCGCCGTCTGGGTCGTAGCTGGCATCCACCTCGAACTGCACCGCGCAGCTCAAGGCTCCGAGGGGATATCGCAGGGTACGGTGGTGACCCAAGCTTTGCTCCAGGCCGGCGGGAAACTTGACGGAGGCCTCTTCAAAGTTCCTGCCCCAGCCGGTGTTCCGCGACCCGCAGATGATCTCAAGGGTGCGTTTCTCGCAGCGCTCGACGATCAGAGTGTTCCGCACCAGGTGCAGGTTGAGCCGGAAGTCCTCCCGGATCCGGCCATGGCAGAAGTTGAACAGCTTCCGAAGGCTGTTGCGGTTCGTGACGACGTCGATCTCATCGAAGGACACATCCGGGTTCATGAAAACCGCTGCTCGGAACATGGCCTCGAATGGGTGCCGGGGCAGCAGGTGGGTGTTCTGGTCGACGAAGTAAGTTCCCTTGTCGGGCGGAAGGGTCAACGGTAGGCTCATGTCCTGCCAGACGGCCGCGAAGCCTGTTCATGATCAGTTTCGGCCAGCAAGGCTAGAGGGCGGAGCGGCATACCGGGGACTCGAATCGTGAGCGGTCTTCCTCTTTGCCAGTTGTAGCTGCACACGAGCTGGTAGCCGGCCTCGCTGCTGACTGCTGTCGTCGAAGGCACGATGGCCGACTGAACGATGGTATACACAGGCTCCACTGGCTTTCGGATCTGTTTCCACAGCCAAGCTCGCTTTGGTGCTTCGACAGGCGGAGGGCGTCCGGTGGTCTTTCGAGCCTGTATCACGTCACTCGATGTCTTGTTGATTGACAGCGAAGTGTTTGCGCTGGAAGGAGTGCAGCAGGAGGCGCGTCCGTTGTGGGCTCGATTCTTGTCAGTTTGATGCTGCGCCAGCGCTGCAGCCGACTTGAAGCGCCGACCGCAAGAGCAGGGAATCATCGTGGCGTGGGGTTTTTCAATAGTGTGAAAATTATGCTTATTGACATAAAGACAGTGTTGGTGACTATGATTGGTGTGAGTTGATGGATAGTGATGTGTATTGTGGTGCCTGTTGATCTGTTGATGTGCGTTGGCGAGTAGAAGATATTCTCAAGGCCTTGAAAAGGTAAACAAACAAGAAGTGAGAGCTGCAAGGAAGGAAAGTTCTTCTTTTAGGATCAGCCCGTCTCTAGATGTCGGCCAGCTCGAAGACGGCCAACGGTTGGCGCCAACACTGAATGCAGGGCGGGGTGACATGAGGAGATTCTCTCCCACCCTCTATCGGCCTTGCATCAAATATGGTTGGCTGAGAAGCTTCAAGCCTATCTTACCCAACCAGTGAAAAGATAAATTGTGACCGTGATAGTTGCTACGTCTTGCACCGACAAGGACTGGTTCGGACTCTTTGTGCAGCCAGAAGGGCAGGCTTTGATTGACATTTGAATCCCAAAACTATAGACAATGCTGGCGGTCACGAGATGACAATGTAATGGCCGGCCAAGAAAGAATACATGCTTCCATCAAATCGTATTATACTAAATCCCTCTTTCCTCATCAAAACGCCGTATGCGCCAATCCTATACATCTATGCCGAAGCCGTCTTTTCGATCTCACTGACACCCACTTCAGACCCCTTCTCGGACAGCCTGTCGCTCTGGTGCGCCCTGCGGGTCAACCCGGCAACCTCAGTCTTGCTGAACTTCCTCGCCGGGATGCCTTGCTCGAACAGCACCTCGAGCTCGCCGTAGGTGCGGCCTCTGGGCTCGGGCAGGCGGAACCAGGTCCAGACGAAGCAGGCGGCGCAGCTGCCGGCCCAGAAGAGGCCGCTCTTGGCGCCCCAGTTCCACGCCGAGGGGTTGAGCATCAGGGGCGTGAGGATGTTGGTCGTGATGCCGGTGATGTTGTACAGGTTGCGCGCCAGCACCACCGTCTTGGTCCGGAGCCGCGTCGAGCTGAGCTCGGACACGAGGGAGTAGCAGACGGGGCCGACGGTGCAGTCGTAGAAGAAGGTGTAGACGAGGAGCAGGCTGCCGATGGCCCACTGCGCCGCCACGTTCTCCCTGCCGGCGAAGGAGACGAGGCCGATGGTGGCGAGCACGACGCACATGACGGCCTGCCCCGTGAGGTACAGCGTCCGGCGGCCAAAGTGCTGCATCAGGAACCACGAGAAGACGGTGCCGACGGCGCCGATGGCGTACTGGCCCAGGGACATGCTGAACGAGTTGGCCTTGTCCATGCCGGCCTGCTGGTAGAAATACGTCGAGTACCCCATAAAGGTCGAGCCGCAGAGCGTCTGGATCGCCCAGACGCAGCAGACGACCTCGGTGCGGCGGAGGTCGATGCCCCGGAAGCAGTCCGTGTACTTGGTGCCGCTCTGCGCGGCCTTCTCGAGCGCGTTGGTGTGGACCATCATCGAGACCGTCTCGTCCGCGTTGAAGCCGGGCTGCGCGTTGCGGCTGGTGAGGCGGAGCAGGGACGCCTTGGCCTCTTCGAGGCGCTCCTTGCGGACGAGCCACCAGGGGGACTCGGGGGCCACCAGGATGCCGATGATGAGCGGGACGGGCCACATCCACTGCAGCGCAAAGGGGATCTTGAAGCCCCATTCGTCGGTACGCTGGATCATCGCGCGGAGGACGCCGCTGGCGATCAGCTGGCCCATGACCCAGCAGAGGTTCACGTAGGTCGTCTGCGACGCGGGGTTCACTTCGTCAGCCGGCGTACACCAACAGGTTGTTTGATTGACTCGGAGGCGGCGGTGGATGGATGGATGAATCTTACCAGGTACGCGCGTAGATGCGTCGGGCAGACCTCGGAGGCGTAGGTCACGGTCAAGGTCTGGAATATCCCCCACGGGATGCCTATCAGGATCTCGCCCACCAGAAGCTGGACGAGCGTCTCCGAGAAGAAGATGATGAAGATGAAGGCGGTGACGGCGATGAGGCCGCCGACCATGGTCTTGCGGTAGCCGAAGCGGTCGGCGATGAGGCCGTTAAGGAAGAGGCCAGTGATCTCGCCGACGAGGGCGCCGTTACTGAGGCCGGCCTGCCAGGCGGCCGTCAGCTCGTAGGAGCCGTTGGGCTGGCGCTCGCCGAACTTGCGCTGGAAGACGTCGTACGCGTAGAGGTTGCCGATGAGGGTCTTGTCGAAGCCCTCCATGACGACGGCGGTGCTGAAGAAGAGTGACCAAAAGATGGCCTTGGGGTACAACCGGATGGACTGCATGAGGCCCATGCCGAGCTCAGCCTGCGTCGCCTTGGCGGCCTCGGAGGCGATCTCGGCGGCGGCGGCGGCGCTGGAGTCGCTGCCGGACAGTTTGCGGGTCACCACGGGGTCGGTGGCGACGGTCATAGCAGCCGGCGCCGCCTTTGGCGCGGACGAGCCGAAGAGCACCATGGCTACGGGTCGATGCTGGGTTTGTCCGGAAGACCGAATGATATCGGGATGGGACGGTTGAGTTGATGGGATGAGTGCCGCGAAAGAGACGGACCCGAGCTCGGCCTTGGAACGGTTCGAGCTGGTAGAATGGGGGGTGCTGCAAAGGAAGTGGCGATGTGCTCGACCCTTTTCTAAGGTCGAAGAGCACGATCCGGTAAGTCTGCTCTCAAGTTACTGCAACCGATGCGGCTGCCTTCTGCTGAGATGAAGTCAAGTCGATACGGGATACCCAGTCATCTTATATCCTCCTCCCGCTCGCGTCTCGACCGACCTGATGCCTCACGCCAAGCGATGATGTTGATGCTCCCTTCACGCGGAGGAAGGCAGTCAGCCGTCAGAGCAAAAAGGCGGCCTCTCACTGGCTCGCTGAAATCCAATCCAATAGTGTCGGGACGAGAGTGTGAGATGGTGACCTCATAAACCACACTCGTGGGTTTCAGTTGCTCGAATCCAAGAAAAGGATGCAAGAATCCCCTAAAGGAGTCAAGTCGAAAAAGAAAACACCGCCCTAGCCTGCTCTCAGTCGTCCGGGCCCAAGGACACGCTACGCTCCACCTTCTCCACGACCCATCGGCTCGCTGCGGGGAAGCCTGCGTCGAAGGATGAACAGTCCGGGGTCGGTGTCGCAGTGTGGGAGGACGTATGTGTTGGTGTGTAATGGTTGCACTTGAGATGAGATGATGCCGAGGCGGGTGAGGTGTCTCTTACGTCTGGGTGACATACGGGAGGGGGCAAACATTGGGCAAATATCAGGCAATCGGGAAAAGGGGGTGAGAAAGAAGAAGAAACCAGCATCCCATAGCAACTTACTCAGTCTTGGCACAAGCATCCGCTTCCTCGGGCGAGGAGCCCCCCGGAAGAGGTGCCAGAATGAAAAACTTAAAAAAAGGAGAGAAACACTGACTGATCAACACCAACGAAGCATGGCTGTAGGTATACCGGAGTCCCCGTGGGTATCTTTGCGCCATGTGGCGCAGAAGCAGACCGGGACAAGCATGCACACCGAAAGGGGCTTTACCCTGGTCCACCCATCTCCTGGGAAGTGCCTTGCTGCATTGCCCAGGCCCCCGGATCCATGGCGGTCGAATCACAGCGGAGAGAATTTTCGGCGATTCCACCATCGCTGGTTGCAGCGAAGGTTTCCGCGAGAGTTCCCGGCCATGGCTGGGCCAATGGGGAGTTGGGGGTCTGCCCTTCCTCTCCCCCCATGTGTAGCTAAACTAAACTAGCTCGTTCAGTCGAGACCGACCTGGGGGGACGGACGACTGTCGCTCGTGAATGTGGGTGTTCCGGGGTTGGCGTTGGTCGCTCTCGTTGGTCCGTCTACTCTTCCCCATCACTGTTCTCAGGTCCCCCTGTCTCCTCTCCCCTCCCCGCAGTTGGGAGCTGGATCGACGTACCAGACGACCGCCTTCTCTTAGCATCTGCCTGAACCAGCATAGCCTGGAGGGAGACTCGTGGCATCTATCGAACGGCGCAGGACTCGACGCCGTGGTCGATGACGCTAAAATTACAGCGATTGGTCCCCATCCTCAAACAGCGTTGAGAAGTTCGTCTGTCCACGAGTGAGGTTTGGCTGGCGAGCGAGCTGAGCTGGCCGACGGGTAGAAACCTACGACATGGTCCAGGACCAAGTTCCAGATCGATGAGTCCCAGAGCACCCGGCCTATCACACGCAGCCCGATCATGCTTGGCGAGCGTGAAGTAGGCAGCAGCACCTGGGTTGCGATGTCGTTCTTGTGAACTTCACAGAGCATCCCTATGGAGAGAGAGAGACTCGCAGGTCGTTCAAACTGAGTATAGTCTCTTGGAGGATGCCTCTGTCTGATAACAAGCTCGTGGGGGCGCGGGGGATGTGACGAGAGCCGGCTGCGACCCTCACACCCCCCCCCCCCCCAAAACACCCCTTTTCCTATTGCCATGTTTTCGACGCTGCTTCACGCCGACCTGGATCTTCCCCGCAACCTCTCTTCTCATCCTCCTAGATACGGGGCTCAGCTACCCAGCCACCCTAATGTGGAACCTAAACCGACGTTTGTCTCCGTCTGCTGCCGTCTCCTTCGGGGCTGCCCATGTGATCACGAAAACCTGATCGGATACTGATAAGTATTATTTCTGTGACGCGATATGCCTCCAGCCTGTTTCTCCTTCATTGCCTCGATATGCACTTCTATCAGCCGCTCAGATCGAGTAACCAGTGGGACGGGAGACGCAGCAACGGACCATATGTGTCGAAGCCAGCGAACTCGCAGGGCCAAGCTAGGAACGGACTGGGCCCACCTTGCCGGCATCCAGCTGCTGGTTCTCGGGTCGCCTTCCGCCATATACCGCCGTCCCCGGTAGTACACCGGAGCCGTCACTTCGAATCAGCTGACAGCCCCTTGCCCGACGTCAAGGACAAGAACCGGTAGTCTCAACCGAGGCCTCTTCTTTGTGATGCTTTCATCCTGAAACCCTTCTCACCTGGAAATGGTGTGCAGGTCCTTCTGATCTACCACACGATGATGGTTGCAGATACTTGGATCATTGCGCGACACTTCCGGGCAGATGCCGATAATAAAAAAGGACAGCGAGAGAACAGCCTTCAGAGGGAAGCGCCATTGCCCCTTCAGTGTTAAGGCAGTATGTTTCGTAAGACATGAATTCAACAATAACGATCTAGCTCTGCACAATAGTAACCAACCCAACTTCTTGATGGTATTTCTTTTCCCTTTTCTGCTTTTCCTATGTCCCAGCTCCTCTACTTACGCTGCTCACTCTGTAGGGAATAGATAAAGGCCAGTGTTAAATTGAGAAATCTTCAATGTTCCGCCTCAGATATCTATGCAAGAAAGCAGCCATGCCAGCTTCGCCTACCATTCTACTCAAGACGGATATTTCACGGGCACAGTCGTTACTAATCGAAGCTGTTCGTATTCGTGTTCACCCTCATCTTGGCCAAGGAAACGGTAATGGAGCCGCCGCTTTTCCCTATCGGTGCGAAAACCGGGTCTCGGCTTATTTGTTGGAAGAACCAACAAGTAGCAAAAACCACAGTAGTCTGGCGCAACACACTTTGCCAGTAACTAACAGAAACTGAGACCTGAGGGGAATATTTTGCGGCATCTTTCCGGACGCTGTAGTGTGCGTCAGTCGGACCGAGTCTGTGGAAGCGAGCGGGTAGATAGATGATGACGGGTCATCTTGCAGCCGGTGATAAGCCCCTTTTCAGCGGCGTCAACAGACGAAAAAACCGGCTCGTCGGTCTAGGGCGTCCGCAAGCTTACAGGGGGCTGGACGCATTCGTATTCGGATCTATCGATAATCAGAGGACTTATCACGTATTCGTTTTGGCGCACTGCGAACTTCAGAGCAAAAAGACAATAGGCTTGGTTGTAAGTCGGAGGATGTTAATCTCAAAAACTGCTATAAGAAGGGCAGTTCGTGTTGGGTGATGGAGGGAAACCAGTCCAGCAATACCGTGTTTGACTCACTTCTCTCTGTTGTGCTTTCCATCGCGAGCGCTCCACCCAGTGCCACAAGTTCCTTCAACATTCCCATTGCATTCGAATACTATCGAGTCTGTCCGCCACGATGGTTGGGATGGTTCCCGAAGAGAGACAAATGCTCTTGGCCCGAGACGCCACGTTCGAGAAGGTCCTTCACAAGGACACAACGAAGACTGTTGGCATGTCGGCGATGCTGAAAAAGGACCACGAGGCACAGAAGGCGGCCACGGACGAATACTTCAGACATTGGGACAACAAGAGCGCACAGAAGGAGACGAAGGAAGACCGAGAGGTAAGTGGAAAGCGTCTCTGAAGTGCAGTGATGTTGCATTGAATAATAGTGAACCCCCCCTTCGTTACAGGCTCGGACAGCAGACTATGCCTCCCTCACCAGACAGTAAGTATCTAGAATGCTCTCCAAAACGGGCGTGTCCAGACTAAGCATACGGGAAACAGATACTACAACCTCGCGACCGATTTTTACGAATATGGCTTCGGCCAAAGTTTCCACTTCTGTCGTTCAGCGGCTGGCGAGTCTTTCAAGCAGGGTGTCGCGAGACACGAACACTATCTGGCCCACGTGATCGATATCAAGAAGGATATGAAAGTGTTGGACGTCGGCTGCGGTGTTGGCGGGCCGGCTCGCGAGATCGCCAAGTTCACTGGCGCCTGTGTCACTGGCATCAACATCAACGACTACCAGGTGGAGAGGGCGACACGATATGCCGTCAAGGAGAAAATGGACAAGCAAGTTCAGTTTGTACAGGCCGACTTCATGGTAGGTTTTGTGTGCGCCATATAGTGCATTGACAGGCCCCTCGCTAACGGCAGACATGTACCAGAACATACCCTTTGAGGACAACACCTTCGACGCCGTCTACGCCATAGAGGCCACCGTTCACGCCCCATCCCTCGAAGCCGTTTACTCCGAGATCTTCCGCGTTCTCAAGCCCGGCGGCATCTTTGGCGTCTACGAATGGGTCATGACGGACAAGTACGACGACGCCGACCTCCGCATGCGCAAGATCCGCATCGACATCGAGCAGGGTGACGGGATAGCCAACATGGTCAAGGCCGGGGAGGCGCTGCGCGCGTTCGGCGCCGCCGGCTTCGACATGGTCCGGCACGAGGACATGGCGGAGCGTCCAGACCCGAGCCCATGGTACTGGCCCCTCGACGCCGGCAGCTGGAGACACGCGCAGACACTGGGTGACCTGATGTACACGTTCCGCATGACTGGTCTCGGACGCATAGCGACGCGCGGCTTTCTCGGTGTCATGGAGACGCTGAGGCTCGCGCCGCCCGGCATGACGAAGATGTCGGATAGCTTGTGTGTTGCCGCCGATGCATTGGTTCAGGGCGGTAAAGAGAAGATCTTCACGCCAATGTACCTCATGGTTGGACGGAAGCCGGCAAAGAAGGATTGAGAACAGCTACGAGAATGCCGTATTACATAGATAGTTCTTCCATATATACAGCAGTCAGAGGGCCTTGTCGAAGGCATCAAAAGAAAGACATACTACCAACAGCAACCAGCAAGTTTCCGACCGACGCAAAAAGATGGACGATCAGGGAATCGAACCCTGGACCTACCGCATGCTAAGCGGTCATTATACCACTAAACCAATCGCCCATGTGGATGATCTAGCCCGGACTTGAACCGGAGACCTTCAGTGTGCTCAGATCGAGCGGACTCGAACTGTTAGACTGACGTGATAACCAACTACACCACCAGACCACTTTTATTGTTGAGGACGGGGCAAGAAAATGCGGAATATGAATAAACTGTTTTGGAGAATGGTGGGAAGAACGAGTCGTGAAGCGAGGGGGCGGAGCCCTCCCTAGTGGGCCGAATCGGGGCGGCGGCGGTCTGCACCGGTCAGCGGGCCGGAATAATGTCCCAGTGGTTGGTGGTAGACGGGTTTGACCGATTGGACTGAGTTATGATAGCCTCAACTCAAAATGTCTCTTAATGCGGGTGTCAGGGGCTTTATTCGAACCGTCTTCTTTGACAAAGCACCTGATGTATCTTCCAGCGGCCGGGACCTGCTCGACGAAGAGGTGCGAGTCATTGAACTTGCACTTGGGAGAGAAACTGGCAAAGCAAAATAGCGCGTGCTCATCACTCAGTCCTAGTCAGCCCGAGTGATCCATGGCGACACCGCACTTCGTTTGGCTAATGCTGCTCTGTTTCGTTATTGATGAGATCCCTTTGCCATACATCCTCAATCATGGAATGGACCAGGAATCTCAGGCGGCTGTGATCGGCATTGAGCATACAATCCATGGTCGAAGGAGCGCCGGGATATGTGGAAACCCCATGAGCTTATCTGCAGCAGTCAACCACGATAGGCCATCTCAGACTCCCTTTGTCAGCCAAGTGTGCTTTCCACGCAGCGTCACTCCAATTTAAGAACTGGATTGTTCATCCGTATCTTGAGAACCCCTCTCACAAGTAGTCAAGATATCCTGCATTTGAACCAGCCGCGCACGCGGATCGCCCTCCATCCTTGCTGCTCCACGTTCACGCCAAGAACCGACTAGCGAGGGGACGCGCTGCGTTCAGTGGTGGGAACTCGCCAGTCCGGATCGCCGGAGGCCACGGAGTGCCATGATAGTTAAGGGGATAGATATCACTTTCTGATCAGGTGTGGTGGACGCGGCCAAGAGACGCAGTTTGCTGATGGGACACAGCTGGGCCCAAGGCACCGAACCCGGCAATCTGGATGGCCATCATTGGCGATGGCCTATGCAAAGGAGACAGGGTTCTCCGCATGGGGCCATTGAAATCAATCGCGACGTGGAAAATCACATGGCTGGAGGTCGTATCTCGGAGGTCGGGGATCGATTCGAGCAAGGCCGAATTGCAACGTTCTCGGGTGGCCGTCTGTCGCATCGTTACATATGAATTGTATATTAAGTAGTTCCACGCCGTTTCCAAAAGCGAATGGGCTCGTCTCGTAGACCACCTCGATTCACGTCCAATGCCGTGCCCCGCCGCCCCGGTTTCTTCCTAGGCATTCTTCATCATGAGAATCAGCGCTGCCGCTCTTTTCTGCGCCTTTGCGAGTCCGGCCACGGCCAATCCACTCAACTGGCTCGGAATCGCCTCCTGGGACGTGGAGGGTTTTGCCAAAGACAACCCAATCGGCAAGACCACCGGGGGCAAGGGTGGTCCGACCGTGACTGTCACGAGCGTCCCGGAGCTACAGTCCGCCGTCGTCGGCAGCGACCCGAAGACCATCGTCCTCAAGGGCGAGTTCGCTTTGCCAGCACGCCTCAGCATCGGCTCCAACAAGAGCCTCGTCGGCTACAAAGACCAGGCGCACATCACCGGTAAGGGCCTCAACGTCTATAACGCGACCAATGTCATCCTGCAGAACCTCAAGATCAGCTACATTTTGGACAACGACTGCATCACCATCCGCAACTCTACCAGGGTCTGGGTTGACCACAATGAGTTCGCGTCGGACATATCGCAGGGTCCTGATCTCTACGTATGCTGTTTCCCAGCAAGCCAGTTTCGGGGACCGACAACTGACTCTAATTAGGACGGCCAGGTCGACATCATCCGTGCTTCAGACTGGATCACCGTCTCCTGGAACTACTTCCACGACCACTGGAAATCCTCCCTCGTCGGTAACGACGCCACGTTCCGCGACCTCGACTCCGGCCGCCTCCACGTCAGCTACCACCACAACTACTGGAAGAACATGGGCACTCGCGGTCCCGCCGGTCGCTTTGGCACGCAACACATCTACAGCAACCTGTACGAGGACTTCCTCTACCAGGCCATCCACTCACGCTCCGACAACCAGGTCCTTGTCGAGGGCAACGTGTTCCGAGGGAAGACGCGTGAGGCGCTCAGCACCTATGGCCTCGTCATTCCGGACGATTCCCCAAACACCTGCGTCTGCGGTGACGAGGAACTGGACGGGTTCGCCAACCTCGGTTCTCGTAAGTAAACTCACGCTTCGGCTGTCCACATGGACCCGGAAAACTAATGAAACGATAGCCAATGACTGGGGCAATGCCGGTGTCAATATCACCCAAAAGGGCACCTTCTTCAAGGCACCTTACATGTTCAAGCTTACGCCTCTGCCCCTTCTGGCACCAATCGTCAAGCTTGGCGCCGGCGTTGGTCGCATTTAGATTCTCGTGGATGAAGATGTATATGAACGTGTTTGCTTGCCCCAGAAAACTGTGCCATGCAGGGCAGAAGCCAAATGCTGAGCCTTTTCCTCTATTCATTGAGCTGTACGTCTGTCATATTGCTATTGTCACCGCAAGTGGCTATGTTGAATGTTCTAGATCCTTGAAACAGTGATTACCATGCCACTGAGCGTTTTAGCCTGTTTTAAAGGAGTGCCTCTTCATCGTCTCTTCTCTGGACTACTTACATACGGGGGTTTTGGAAGGCCCGTGAAACAATATACAGTACGCACGTGTATTCTGGCATCGTCTGAATACTTCCTGATGACTGCAATTACGCAGAAGTCTAGACGACTGTCAATGAGTATTTCTCGGACGAATCACGCCGAAAGGCAGCCTACCTACTACTATAGCCTGGCTGAAGCGATGCAACATCTCGGACCGTCCTCGGACGTAAACTCTTCTAGCCTCCAATAATGGGCCAGTTACGTGGTTAGCGCAACTGTGCAAAATGAAAGAGAAGTTTTGCCGTTGGCCAAGATTGACATGCGATTAGTTGAGTTAGGGAATGTTTTGTCACGTAACAAAACGATACCGTTAGTTAGGTAGGCAGTAATAGTAGCTTATATACTGCAACACACACCCCAGATTTGACCTAGAAAGCCAGATCTGAACACATTTTTAATAAAGACCTAGCTAGATACATCTCGCTAACTATAGGTAGTAAAGATCTATACAGACTTTAGTAGGATTTCTTACTAGGGGAGCCTAATAGGAATTATAACTACAGTGCTTAAGATCTATATAGCTAGTTACTGCACTTGGATTTCTATATGTACTATTATAGTATATAGTAGGTAGAAGCTAAGCTTATTACTGTTATAAGTTAGAGTATATAGCAGGGTATATAAGGATTTAGGTCTAAAAGGCTTATTTCTATGTAAGTGTAAGTAACAAAAGTGAGGTCCTATATATGGGGAAGTGAATACATTTCTACTGACAGGGCTATTGCAGAGGGTAGAAATATATTCATTTCCCTACATATAGGACCTCACTTTCGTTACTTACACTTACATAGAACCAAGCCTTTTAGACCTGAATCCTCATATGCCCTACTGTGTGCTCTAACTCGTGGCATGTTCGATATGCCATAACCACCAGCCAAGCCGGCGTTGAAACCAAGAAGCAATTCCAAGAGTCCAGCTCAATGCTATGCCTCGTAAAGCAAAACGATCCCGCAAGTATGCCCTCAAAAACGCAGCTTCTCCACATTATTTAGCAAAAAGTTGAAACTCTCTTGACGGAAATCGTCGGCTATGAGATCAGCGCTGTCGGCCCCCATATGCAACAGCTTGTTGCCGTCTCTCCACTTTGGCCAATTAATCAGGTTGGCGTCGGGGGTGCATTTACCACTGCCGCCGGAGCAGTCGTTTGGATCCAGGTTGTAAGCGAAGTTGAAGTAGTACGCCCGCGTCGCGGCCCTGGCATAGTTGGGCTTGATGCCGAAGAAGACCTGGAGGAGGTCGGACCCGTGGAACGTGCCAAAAACAGGGGTGCCGTGGTCATAGCTAGCCAGGTAGCTCCAGTTGTTGACCTCTGGCTGGACTAGCTGGGAGATGTTGAACACTGCCCTGCGAGTGAGAGTGAAGACGGCGTCGCCGAGGATGGCAGCGAGTCGCTTGAACTGGGGACGCACTTCGTTGAAGATTGAAGTTCCGAAAGGGGACCCATCGGAGGGCGACGGGCTGTATGTCGCTACCAAGCTTTTGACTTGCTCGGGCGAGGCGTTGTTGAAGTAGAGAGTCGAGAGATAGGTTTCAATGTCCTCTGTGGTGGTGATGTTCGGTTGGAAGAGGGCGAACAGCGTGCCCTCGTCTTCCTGATCCCCCAGGATGAATGGTATTTTGGGCAGCTTGCCCGAAGTCGCGAACACTTCGGCGCTTGAAGGGATGTTTTTACCGTCTGGGCGTGGAAGGTATGACAAGGCAACTGAACTAAAGCTCAGCAAAGCTGGCACGGAGTTCGCCGCTTTTCTCATGTCCTGCAAATATCAGGTCAGGAGCGTTCACAAGATGAGTACGTTGAATGATACGTCTTACGTCGTACGAAAGGGCGCGGAGACACTTCAACCGATCCTCCGCCCCACTGCAACCTGCAGCAGACAGTACCTGTTCATAAACTTTGGTGGCTTTGGGACAATCCATAGGGTCGGTAGGTACAGCTGATCCCGAGTTCATGATGGCGCCACGGAAGAGTTGCTTTCCGTTCCGTGTGATGTTGCCGTTAAACAGAGTGAGCTGACTGAAGATCGAGATGGCCCCAGCTGATTCTCCCCAAAGGGTGACTTTGTCAGGATCACCCCTAGAAAATTCTAGGGTCAGTGGTATGAAGCATGGATGACGAAGATCCGATATGACTTACCCAAAGCTGGCAATATTGTCCTGAACCCATTCGAGCCCCATCCGCTGATCAAGCAAACCAGCATTGGAGCTTCCCTCTTCCATCAGGTCCTTGCCCGGCATGAACCCGAACCCTCCGACTCGATAGTTGACAGCCACGAAAATGAAAGGCTTGCCTATCTTCACGCCTTCAGCGACGAGGCCAACGCCGTTATACATTGACGTGCTTCCCAACTCGAACCCCCCACCAAATATCCAGTACATCACCGGGAGCTTGTCCCCTTCTTTCGTCCCAGCCGGCCGCTGGACGTTTATCGTCAAGCAATCCTCTTGTCCGACAACTAAGTTCTGGAGTATGGGGAGGTTAAACACTGTGTTGAGGAGGTCTGGAGGAATCAGAGGCGAGCCAAAATTAGGGGGTATGGCAAATTGTGGGCATGCCTCCGGTTGATCGTTGGTGGCGTCGAGGTATCCCAGGGCTTGTGTTAGACGTACTGGAGGCTTGAATCTCAAGTCTCCAAGGGGAGGCTTTGCATATGGGATTCCCATGAATGATTCAACCTCGCCGTCGTGAAGCCCGAGGATGCCTTTAGTGGTGCCCCTCAGATTGGCCTGTGGCGACTTGATGGTGACCCAAGGGGTTCCGCCATCTCTCTTCCACGGCGCGCCGCATGCTAATGTAAAAAAAGAGACGAGAACGAGCGTCGAGGAAACCATCATCAGAGGATGTCTGCAACGGAGAAGAGGGGTTGGCCTCCAGCGTGTGCTTTCTCGCTGTGTCACTCACGGGTACGATGGGATATAAGGACAGCCATGCTGGTGGCCTTGAGCTGACTTATGAGGCTGGTCATTCCCGCTCTGCCTTGAACGAACGGTTGAAGAATGATATCATATTCAATAAAGCTGGAACATGATTTCATGGATCATGTTTGAGTCTGTCATGTCAACTGAATCGATAACAGATGAACCGGGCGGGATAGTCGGGCAATTGCACAGCTTCCAAGGAGGTTTCTCGCAATGATGCCCCCAAAGGAGAAGTTCCGAGGCAGTACAGATTCACATGCGCCACCCAGAGAGAACGAAAGGGAGTTCGCTTGAGGAACTTAGCCAGT